ACCCCCCCCCCCGGGCCTCCCCTCCCACTTATTATCAATTTTGTAAATAGAGCTCATATGTTAAAAATGGTCAAATTTGGACTTGTAGCTGCAGCGAACGGCCCCTAATTATAACTGCGGCGGCTCGATCGGCCCTGCAGTCTGTAATAGCTGCAGCGCTATGTCCAAAATTTGTTTTAGCCTAACCTAACCTGGAAATAAGTTTTAAAAATGTTAATAATAATAATCTAATTTTTGGGTCCGTCCTAGTATATGATTTATGGACCCCCCACAAATCAAAAACAAAATTAGTATATATAGGGTTAGGTTTTAGGTTAAGACACTTTCTGGGCCGAGCGTTGCGGCTAGGGGGCCGAGCGCTGTGGCTAGGGCAGGCTAGGTGGCCTAGCGCTGCGGCTAGGTGCCGGGCGCTGTGTCAACATGGTCAATTATATCCATTTCTTATACATAAGATCCATGTTCAAAATTGATTGGAAGGGGGGGGGTCCAAAAATCGCATATTAGAAAATTAGGTTAAGAGGGGGGGGGGTCCATAAAGTGTTTTGTAGGACACATTAATAAATGTGCCGTCAAAATTTAGATGTTTTTACAGGCGACGTTCAGAGTTACAGTTAAAAGTTAGGATCATAGTAGTAGATAATCCTTGTTCCAGAGACTATGGCGACTGCATCTGCTGGACTCCGATGGATTGATGTTTTAGAGAATCAATTTGATAAATCTTGGGTAGACCTGGATCTTATTCTTAACCAACTTGCAGATGTAAGCAACCCAATAAAATTATTTTACTTAAAGGAACCAGTCGAGTCTTCGTAATTTTAAGTGACTCCATTTACAGAGGGGGCTGTCTAATTCACAATGGCACCCTTGAATTCTTAATCTAATTACGTAGAAGATGAATAGTTTTTTACAAGACTGTAATTCTGAAAATTTCTCCATTGTTACTTTGTTCTGAAACAAGAAATGCGCTTGTAATTTTCCAGAGAAATGAGAATTAATCATAAACCTGGATATTTATATCATACTTAAGTATGACTAACCCCCTCCCCCAATTTTATAATTAAGGAAGAAGACGAAATTCAGATCACAGCCATTTGTAGGAAGCATGCAGCATCATTAGCATCATGCTTTGCTCAATTAGGTAACCAGGATGCATTAACTGTAGCATGCATCATCATTAGCATCATGCTTTGCTCAACTAGGTAACCTGGATGCATTAACTGTAGCATACAGCATCATTAGCATCATGCTTTGCTCAACAATGTAACCAGGATGCATTCATTATCTGTTGTATGCAGCATTCTTAGCATAATGTTTTGCTCAACTAGGCAACCAGGATGCATTAGCTGTAGTATGAAGCATTCTGAGCATCATGCTTTGCTCAAAAAGGTAACCAGGATGCATTAAAACTGTTGTATGCAGCATTCTTAGCATAATGTTTTGCTCAGCCAGGTAACCAGGATGCATTAACTTTAGTATGCAGCATTTTTAGCATTTTTTGCTCAACTAGGTAACTAAGGTGTATTAATTGTAGTATGCAGCATTCTTAGCATGTTTTGCTCAACTAGGTTACCAGAATGCATTATTAGCATAATGCTTTGCTGAACGCTGAACTATAGTCATAGCCAGAAAGACCCGGAATTTATTGACAGTTATTCAGGCGACTTTAGATATATATCTCTGGTAATTTAAAACGCACAATAAAGGCAGACCACATTTTGGAATTGGCATGACACGGGCTATGTTGTTATTTTCGCTTCGTTATTCATATTTTAAAAATTAGATTGAAAAGTCGTCTGATTAATTATAAATTAATTTTGTGTCTTTCTGATTATGACTGTAGGTATGCCGGATCAATTATCAGTAGTATTTAGCATCTTTATCATCATGCATTGATTAATTCGGGAAACAGTAGCATCATGCTTTACTTACTCACATATTTAGCTCACAAATCCACACGTATACCTCACAAATCTATATTTTAAGCTCAAAAATCTTTATTTTTAGCTTACACATCTATATTTTAGCTCACAAATCTATCGTGATATTCCAAAACAACGCTAAACTTGAAGCCGAGCTCCTGCATTTGAGGTAAAAAAATTATCAAATTTCTGTTCCAATAAGTTTTTTAGAGTATTTTTTTAATAAAAAAATTACCTGCTGCGCTCATTTTAGTTCTTTCCCTCACTTCTGATTTAAGCTTCCTTAACCCCTGGCCCTGACTAGGTACGAATACTATGCGGGATATCGAATAAAGATTAAATTCATCTGCAAATTAACAAAAGATCTTGGTATCCACAAAACAAAAATCCCAGAGCTCTGTTAATATTTGTTGGTTTTAGAAAGAATAATTAAAAGGGGAAATTCTCCCCATGGTCGTTTCTTTTGGTTATGACTTTAGAATGAGTTTTAATATATTCAAATTTTCGGCGTGCTTCGGCCTTCCTTGCCATTAACTCGGACATTTATAGAATTTGTCCAGCACACGTTGGGGTCTGAACCCCCAACGGAACCCGTAGATTGTATTGATCCATGGAGGGGCTGAGCCTCTGCATCAGTTTTAATCCTTCTTGTTTAGAGAAGAGGTGTCTATACATAAACACTCCCTGGATAAAATGAAAGAAGAGAAGGTAAAAGAAAAGAAAAATTAATTGCCCTGGAGAAATGCTTGACTGGTTTTTATTACTATTAGATACTATAATTATAATATAATATTATCACTATTATATCAATTATCATTATCATTGTCATCCTCATTGTCATTGTAATTGTTATTGTCGCATTCTCATTGGCTTTCACATTGGCATTGTTGTTATTTTTACTATTATGATAATAATGAATATCACATTTGTAATTTTAAACGATAAAAATAAATTAACTATTCAGGATTATTTAACCCTAAAACTACAATCTACGCTGATACAGAACCATAAACTCAAGTTTAAATCAGGCATGGACATCATTAAATCCGTCATTTATCAATTCCACAGTGGTAGGCGATTATATTAATACAATGAAGATGACTTTCGATTTTGATTGATACCAAGCTGTTAAACAGCATAGATAGTGGATACACATAAACATAGAAGTCAAGAGAAGCTGTCAATTAAAAAAGCTTCTCATGATTATTTGTGAACTTGTAATTCAAAAAAGCTTCATTGTCATCTTCAGGTATTTTTGAATAATTATTTTCAATTAAATTTCTGAGAGAATAAAATTATGATTGTCCGATTCCAAGAGGGTAGCGAAGAGGTTGATAAAAAGCAGGTAAATTTGCGTAAATAAAATTATAAAATCGTGTAATTATTTTTTCTTTTTTGATCAATTCTAAGAATAAACCTACAAACATTACTTAAAGCAAATATCGACGTAAGTTCATTCCAGATCCTCAATAGTATACCTTAGTCGGTGTAAAAAAAAGATGAAGATGTCAAAATTTTTTATCTGAAAATTGATATTGCCTATTGTAAATTCTCTTTATTTATTTTTAACTTCTTGCTAATGAATTTATGCAACAGAAACAAGGGAGGAGATTTACAAATTTATCAATTTTTAGACAGAAAAATTATGATATTTTGCTCATTGCTATTCAGATAGAGATGTTCAGGGTAGTCTTGCGAATCTTTTGCAAGGTTATCAGAAACTGGAATTAATGTAGACACCAGACAGCCTCTTTAAATCATTAATTTTCATTATTTTCCTAATCATTAAGTTTTGCGTTATGAAAACCATGGATTGTTGTTAAGAACAAATAGTTGAAAATGATAAGGATGATAAATTTATGTATCGATTGATTGATGATTGATTGATTAAAAGTTATATCTTTGCAAACCATGCAATTTTTAGAGCAATTTTAATGCCAAATGGAAGTTCACGACAGCATAATGTTTTTAAAATCTTTTTTATTGATTGATAAATCAGGGGAGTATATTTTCTTGGCAATTATCCCCCCTTTGAAAATCATTTTTCCCTTAAAGGTTTTCGCTGAATGGGGGAAAATAATGATTTTTAGAAAAATTAGAGTTTTGGTCAAAAAGTATCAAAAATCGAAGGGACTATTTTTTATTTTTCCAGAATGTTGAGGAAAAGAAACCCCTGTCCCGGTCCGTTTCAAGGGAACCTTCCGATACAAAGCAGGCAAACCTTTGGTAAGGAAATATAGGATAGATTTTCATTTTTTTTATTTTAAGAAAACATTAGCTAAAGAAAACATTTTTATTCAGTTTTGATAATTTTGTGTGAAGAAAAACGGAAGTACATTTTGCTTATGTTGCGCGTTCGTGAAGTTGATTTGTTATGCTAAAATTCTTATATTAACTTTTTAACCCGATTTTCTCTTGTTTTAAGAATTAATTTTTAAATGTGAATCAATGAGCGTTGTTGTAAGACTTTTTTGGGGATTTGCCAAAAATTACGAATTAAATTTAACAAGATAAAAAGGAACGGGGGGGGAGTCCTGCTTGATAATGTTTATCTTGATAAAGAACTAGCTGGAAGGTATATTATGATAAAGGTCCTGGTTGATAATGTTCATCTTGATAAAGAACTGGCTGGAAGGTATATTATGATAAAGGTCCTGCTTGATAATGTTTATCTTAATAAAGAACTAGCTGGAAGGTATATTATGATAAAGGTCCTGGTTGATAATGTTTATCTTAATAAAGAACTAGCAGGAAGGTATATTATGATAAAGGTCCCGCTTGATAATGTTTATCTTGATAAAGATAATGATGATGATTTCCAAAGTGTGGTCTGCCATTTGTTTGCCCTCAAAATACCAGAGATATTAAGAATTAATGATTAACCTATTCTGAACGAAAACATTCATTTCTCCGGAAATTATCTGAGTACAAAAATTGCAGACCACATTTTGGAAATGGGCAGGACTAGGGCCAATCTGTGAATATTGTTTCAAAAAAGACTGTTGCTAAATTTAGGTTACCTATATTGAATACTGAAAACTATTTCTAAGATTAAAGACGACTTTAAAGTGTTAAATCAATTTTCATTATTGCGGATTATTTAAAATAGGACTATATCTTCAGAACGTCCCATATTATATTAGATTATCTCCAAGCTTTAACTTCAAATTACGCATATAATACTCCAAAACCCTAGTATTTTCAGCATGCAAATCCTAAGTAATATACAATTTTTTTAATGATTTTCTGATTAGTCCCGAAAATCGCAATTTAAAACTTTAACACGTTCCAACACGATGTGGGACACCCTGTGCATAGAATATCCTTGTACAGGATTCAGCAGATTCAGCTGCTGGCCTCGAATACCCCGGCAGAGATGAAGGAGAGGCTGTGGACACAAATAGAGGCTGAGATGTGTTTACAGAGAGCTAAAACAATAGCACAGATATGTAAAACTAAACAGGTTATAACCTATTATTTACATATTAAAATAATTTTGGCCGATTTTTTACTTGCATTTTTGGAGGAATTTAACCAAAAAGAAATCCCACGTTTTAATGTCTTATGACGCGGCTGCCGAAGAAAAGTAATAGTAAAGGGGAGGTTTGATTTTAAGAGACACGTCTTTTAAAGGCAACGGTTTTCACCTTTAAATAAGCTAAAAGGACAAAAAAATCCTTGTTTTTGGTTTCTCTTCAAAAAAAAACTTTATTTTATGCAGATGAGACAAAAAAGTTGTTTACAGAATTAAACACTTTATAAGACGGAAGACGACACTAGGTTCCACATGATTGAACATAAAAAGGTTTAAAGGGTACAGGTGGGAATCCGACATACTCCGCTTTTACTTGAAATAACGTTTACAGTTCCTTTGAAACTGAACCAATAACCATCCTTCAGCATTTATAATGTTTTAGGAGCTTCGAACTAAACGGGCGCAGGAGTTCCCTCAAATAGAGAAAACGAAAACAATCGTCAAACATTCCAATGGATCGGCGGCAAACGCCGAGAATGGAACGGCGGTTAATGGAGAGTCGAGGGAAGAAAGCATGCACGCCAAGGGAAAACAGGTCAGTGTTGTTATCGAGATAATGATGGCCGTTCGTCAATTTTATTTTTATTAAATTTTAATTTGAACTCTTCATTCGCAATCTAAACAATTTTTAGCTTTAAAAAGCCGGATAAGCTCTGTGAAAAATATTTTTTATGAACATTTTTTTACAGTTTTTATTAAAACTGGTATTTTTTCCTCGAGAATAAGACCTCCATACTAACATCCTCCCTCTACCCCCTCCCCCCCCCCCCGTCCCTAAAAAAATCAAAAGAGAATTGTTCCCCAAATATAAATTTAGCCATGACAGAAATTACCTAATTTTCGCTCTTTGATATTTTTATGTAACTTTTCCTTGTCTATTAAAAAAATCAGAAGAAATTTTACTCAAGAATTATGTTAAAAATATAATTTTGTTCCAGGTGTTAATCCTGAAAAACCCTGCAGATGACCTTGGCATGGCGATTATCGGGGGAAAGGAGCATAATCTACCGATCATCGTCTCAGAGGTGTTCCCGAACTCGGCGATCGCTAGATCTTCAAAGGTTTTATTTTTAATAAACAATTACACTATAAATAAAAAACATGATTTTAAGTGATGATCTTTTAATCAGTGACCTAAGGTTTACTTCACCGTAAATAGATCAGAATTTATTTCTGTTTGATGTTTTTGCCATGGTGTCCATGGACAACGGTTTATATCGAATTCTCTTTTCTGAAATTCACATTTATAGTGCCAATAGTCAAAATTTATATTGCTTCGTAACATAATTTTCATATTTAGTTAAATGCGGGAGATATTCTTCTCTCGGTGAACGGAGAAGATTTTTCTAAAAAAGGTAAATAAATGGTTTCGAATATCCAACTTATAATTGTTATTTTGGACGTTAACTGGCAAGTTTTCTCCCGCTTTATGATACGTATAATCCACAAAATTAATTTATTTTCCAAATTCAGCAAAAACGCCCAATATTTCTATTGCTAAGGGCAGATGAAGGTTTTTAAAGATTGCAGAAACTACTCCTCCATTCCCCTTTTGGGTCGCTCACGCACACTGTCGGAAAAGTGTAGTGAATACAGCTTGTTATGGAGATTAGGGAAGGGAGGGGAATCTGAATCTGAAATGTTAAATGTTTTATGAAAATTTGAATGTTAAGGACACCAGGAAGCAGTAAATTTCCTTTCATCTCTCCGCGGTCAGATCACTTTCGAGCTTCAGGTCAGTTAATCACAAACAGAAAATAGGCCAATAACTGATGCTTTTGCATGGGGGGGGTCTCTTACACAGTCAAAAGCACTTATTTTACCTTAAATCTGATCTCACAGAAGGGGGGCTCGCGCCCGAGTGCCACCCTTCATTTTCGGCCCTGGTTGTGATCTTGGCGTTGTGGATATGTAGATACAGATAGATAGGGGTTAGAATTACTTCAAGGGGAGTAAATACATGACGCTCAAGATTTAAAGCGACATGTCCGGCCCACCTCGGTACAATTTTAACCTGAGGGCTTAGGATCTGCATCAGTGGAGATTTGTGTTTTGAGAGCAACAACTTATTTTATGCAGATTCTTTTTTTGATATTTTGACCCTTGTATAAAGTATGTATACGGATTCGGATCCAGGAAACAAATAAATATGTTGATGTCCCATTGGACCATGCATGGAAAGTTCCGGTTTTACAAGAACTTTTAAATACAAGAACGAATAATTTATATGTTGAAGGATTCGATGATTACGTAATAACTGAAATGATAAACATGTTATGTAATGAGTAATGATCAATGTCGTCTATTTGTGCATAATTTTGTATAATTTTTCTTTTTTCTTTGGAAAGCTGCATTTTAAAAAATTTATTTAAACAAATTTAAACTACACCATTTATATATGTTTTTTATCTTTGTGTGTGAATAAATCTTTATAATATAAAATAATAAAATGTTTAGGATCCAGCAAGATCCGGAGATTTGATCCTAAGCATTGATTTAAACCTGTATTCGATCAAGGATTGATTATTCATATTGAAATAATATATTCTGGTTTAGTCTGGTGAGAAGTTGAGCGAAGACGATCCTTCTAATCTGGACTACCGGTTCTATAGAATATTCGAACCTACACCAGACAGTCCTAAACCTACTCCTAGTAAAGATATTAAACCTCATCCAGGTAATAGATTATTTAACCTGCTCTGCATAGATCTAACCTTGTTCTTGATACTTCTAAACCTGCATTAGATAGTCTTAAACCTAGACTCGAGATAGTTATAAATATATAGTTATTCCTAAACCTGCTCTAGGTAGTCCTAAACCTTGACTCTAGATAGTTATATATATATAGTTATTCCTAAACCTGCTCTAGATAGTCCTAAACCTAGACTCTAGATAGTTATATATATATAGTTATTCCTAAACCTGCTCTAGGTAGTCCTAAACCTGTACTCTAGATAATTATATATATATATAGTTATTCCTAAACCTGCTCTAGATAGTCCTAAACCTAGATATATATATATATATATATTGAATTATATATACATCTATATATTTCTTAACCTGCTCTAGGTAGTCCTTAAACAACTTTAGATAGTTCTGAACCTGCTCTAGATAGTTTAAAACCAACTCTTGATGGTCCTAAACCTGCTCTATATAGTCCTAAATCAACTCTAGATAGTTCTGAACCTGCTCTAGATAGTTTAAAACCAACTCTAGATGGTCCTAAACCTACTCTAGATAGTCCTAAACCTACTCTAGATAGTCCTAAACCTTCACTAGATTTAAAAGATTATTTTATGCAAATTGGTTAATGAAAATCGTCTTTCTTGTCCTATTTTCATGATTTACCGTGTTTCTTTAGGACGAGCCGTGAGTTATACAGAACAGAATCGTGTCCCTAACCACCTGGTCGGTGAGGGGGACCTACTCCCAACAGTTCATAGTCCACTTAGGGAACACAATCCTCATAGGGACCTTCAAAACACGGTATATAGTTCACTTCGGGAACAAAACACAGCACAAAGTCAGCGTAAAGACACTGAGATTAGTCCTAGGCGTGACCAGGATACAGGTCCTAGTCCCCGAGCTGACCCTGCGATCTCCAATGTTGTAAACTCAAGCATGTATTCTCCACAAATCCCTGGACTAGAAATCCCTAAACTAGAAACTGTTCTGGAAAGCCAGATATTGCTGACTGCGGAAACTCCGATTGTAAATCTGTAAAACACAGTTGTTTTATTCTTTATATTATCGGTATTTTACAACTATTTACAGGTTATCAGTATTGTTATGATAAAATATTTGAGTCACCTATCACATGATTATGATAAAGGGCCCAAGGACCAGAAGCACCCCCACCCCACCACCTTCTGTATACGCCCTTGACAGGAGAACCCTCCCCCCCCTCCTATATAAGCTTATGACAGGTTCCCCTCCCTCCTCCTGTAACGCCACTAATTAGAACCAGAAAACAATGAAATAGAAAGACGACATTATAGCACTGCTTAAGCTTTTTAATGTTTTTTTCAAAGAAAATATATTTACTAGTATTTTCGCTAGGCACTTTTTAAGTAAAATGGGTCTATTTACACTTGGCTATGTCTAATGTTTATTGAACTAGTGTAAGTCCTAACTTGAGTTTTAAAGTCGTCTTCCTATTTCAAAATTTTCTAGTTATCACTGTAGTAATGAGCAATCACCAAAAAAAGATCTACATAAACCTTAAAAGTTTTATAAAAAAAACTAACCAAGTTATTGTCAATCAATTGCCCTCGCCCCCCCCCCCCAAAAAAAAAGACATCTTCGCCCATTACATATTTGTATTTGTAATGCTTTGGAAGCTTTTTTTTTGGAACACCATGTTTTTATCAATTTTGTGAAATCTGTCTATCTAGACTAGACTTTAATGCATTTTATTTTTTAGTAACTGTCACATATTTAAAGATGTTGGAAGCATTTATAGAAAATTTTATCACAGAGAGTTAATTTTTTTTTTGAAATAGCACTGTCCTTATTAACTTCTTTATTTGTTAACAAGAACCTAAAAGAACATCTCGAATTGTTTCTGAGTTTGCAGTTTTACCGCCTTTTCTCCAACATTACAGGCCCATGATTCCCCCAACATAAGGACGTAAAGTTACTTTACGTCCCTTGGGATAATTTAATAAAATAACGACCCACACTGAAAAAAACTCGCCCATTTTCTCTCAGACTACAAGCAAATTATGTGCAACTACTTGCTACTTTTTCGAAAAGTTTATTTTTTTTATTAGCCACGGGTTCCCTGTTCGGAAACCGGTAGAGTAAAATTCCCTTACAAATCTGGTTTACATTATTTTTTAATTTTTAAAATACAGAAAATAACATGTTGATGTTGACAGGATTAAAGGCAATGTTCTTGATTATTTGATCATCCTGCATATATAGTTCTTGAGTGGAGCACACTGGTTTAACCTTCTTCTTTCAGGCTGCAGTTTATCCCAAAATTATTAGATTTCACAGCCCTCTCCCTCTTTTCAGACGACAAAAAAACGTGTACAACTACTTTTTCGGAAAGTTTAATCTTTTACTTATTTTCCTTTTACCGGTAAAGTAAAATTCCCTTGACTTCCCTGTCACAGTGCCAAGTTTAAATAGTTTTTTTTTGTATTTTACGAAATGTAAACCTAAATTTTAGCCTTTCTGGTGTGATTGATTGATAACATGAAGCCAAACGATTTTTTACTCTCTCTTGTAAACAAAGAGAAAGTATAAAGATCAATCTTTTATCCAATGAATTTTGAAAAGTAAAAATCATAAAATTTTATCATTACAATTAATTTTTATGTACAAAACAGATTATCTAAGTTGAAATCTTTGGGTACCCGGTACAGTACAACCTCCCCTAATCATCCCCACATTGGACCTACAGTGGTGGCCCACATTGGACCTACAGAGCCGGCCCACATTGGACTTACAGGGTGGCCCACATTGGACCTACAGGTGTGGCTCACATTGGACCTACAGGGTGGTCCACGTTGGACCTACAGGGGTGGCCCAAATTGGACCTACAGGGGTGGCCCACATTGGACCTACAGGGTGGCCCACGTTGGACCTACAGGGTGACCCACATTGGACCTACAGGGTGACCCACATTGGACCTACAGGGTGACCCACATTGGACCTACAGGGTGGCCGACGTTGGACCTACAGGGGTGGCCCATGTTGGACCTACAGGGTGAACCACATTGGACCTACAGGGTGACCCACATTGGACCTACATAGTGACCTACATTGGACCTACAGGGTGACCCACATTGGACCTACAGGGTGACCCACATTGGACTTACAGGGTGACCCACATAGGACTTACAGGGTGACCCACATTGGACCTACAGGATGACCCACGTTGGACCCACAGGGTGGCCCATATTGGACCTACAGGGTGGCCCACGTTGGACCTACAAGGTGACCCACATTGGACCTACAGAGCTGGCCTACGATACAAACAGAGACTTAAAAAGAATCTACGATGTTTTACCTATTTCAAAATTATTTTTCGATAAGTTTGCTTTGATTGCATTAGGCAAAAAAATCTCTGACCAACGATTTAAACCAAAAATAGTTTTGGCTAATATCTTTACTCAGAGAAAATACGTAAAAATCATGTTTTGTGACGAGTTTTGGATTTCCCCTGTGATTCACGTGTTATATGTGTTTTTTTCTCACCTTATAAAAAACAAATTTCATACATTTTTCGTATCTTAAAATATTCATATCATATTTGTAATGTCACTCTTGTTTATGTATTTTGAAAATTGATTCATCGATTTCAGTTTTACCCTCTTAATATGGTGAGCTATAAGCAATGCGCAATCCTATAAAGTATTGCTATAACATATTGATTTATTTTATTATATAAGTTTATATAATGTTTTTACGTTTATATTTTAATAAATTTTATTAAAACCAAATACCAATTTTTTTATTATCAGACAAAAAAAATATGCTTTGAAAAGGCTTTATCTACTGTCTACAGTGGGAACCAGAAATCTCTGGAATATGAACTCGACTCTAGGTAGTTCAATGTTCATTAAACACATCAATTTAGTAATAAAAACAGTCCCATAATAAGTGATTACAATGTTACTAGAAAAAACCATTTGCTTTATAGCGTCATCAAATTCCTCTGATTATAATTTTGATGACATCTTCCTATTCCACAGTTTTCGGGTTCTCATTGTGAATATACATCTATACACAGAGCGTCCCATATCATATTAGATTATCTCACATAATACGCGAAAACCTAGTTATTTTGGTATGAAAATCTTTATATCAGCAATATACAATTTTTCTAAATGATTCATTCTTTTTAGATTTTCTGAGTAGTCACGGAAATTGAAATTTAAAGCACGATACAGTATGTTGTGGGACACCCCGTATAGTTGTGATCTCTTTGTTTGCTTGGATGTACGATCATAACTCATAAACCCTCTGACCGATTTGCCTCATTTGGTTGGGGAACTTCGGAAAACCACGGGAATGTTCCTGGCATGGTTTTGAGAAAAAGTTGAATAAGTCGACTTTTATAGGGAAATACATTCGGATTCATAATTCATGACCAATTGCTTGTAATCGGCGGAAGTAACTTTAAGTAACCCGGACAACGCTGGGTTTCCAAGCTAGTCTTTATATATGCTTTGCTTGTCTGTTAGTGTGTAATGTATCCAATTAACGACCTCACCTGACCCCAGAAATACAAAAGATTGTCTCTAAACATTTTTTTTATTTTTGTAAAATTTTGTAAATCTACGAAAACTAAATTATAAATCCGCAAAATTTGTTATTACTGTTCTTCATTTTTTATAAATATTTTAGTAATTATATTATTTTGTCTCTTAGTTATTATCTTATATTTTGTAGTTGTTTAATACATAATATAAAGAAGTTAAAATGTTGCACAATTTTACCAGTGAAGTCGCACAAAGGTATTGAGTCTTTGTCACAAACCCAGATTTTCTAATACCTATATCTTTGCAACCCAATCTCGTAGACCTAAGATATTTCAAACTATGAATTATGTTAGATCAAATAGCCTATTTCACGGGTGTCCGCCATCAGGTTGCCAAGACTTAGGGATTAGAAAATTTGAGTTTGTGGCAAAAACTTATTTCCTTGACTTGGTTCACAGTAATATATGCAGATTGGGGCTTAATTATTTTTCTAACAAAGGATGGCTCAATCTCATTACCCTTTAAAAAAAAACCTGGAAAGCATAGATTTCAATAATTCAGGGATTATAAAATAAGTCTATTCATTCATTTGAAGAAAACAACTCTACTAAGATAAATTTATTCCAATGACTGAAACGGAAACATGTTTTTACATAAATAATTAAAAATCCTGTAAAAATGTTCATATAAACCAATTGTAATAATTCAATAATTAATATACCAATTATCCGATTGGTAAATTAAATTTTTGAACTAACGTAAAAGGATACAAAAGATGTCGCTCTAGTATCAAATAGATATGGATTCGTGAACATTAAAGAAACTGCTGACGTAATTTCAAGTGACCCTTTCAATTGAAAGAGTGACATGTCTGGTTCACAATGGTACGTTTTAAATTATGAAAAGAAAATGAGTTTTTGTCACAAACTTTAATGTTTTAACCCATATATCATTGCAACGTAATAATGTAAACCTTTGATATTTTAAAGTTTTGATATTTTGATATTTATAGTTTGCAGCCCAATGTTGTAGACATTAAATATTTCAAAGATTTAGGGATTAAAAGCTCCTTTATTTCCTTCGTATATCGAACGAGAATTTCTAAGAGATAAAGTAGAATATTTCATTCAAAATCAAACAATTTTAAGGGTAGCGCTGTTAATTGGACATGCCACTCTATAAATGTAAAGTCACAGTGAAATTACGTCTGTAGTCCCTTATCTGAAAGGAGCAAGGTACACATTAAAGCTGTATGTTCAAAACTTTTGCACAAACGAGAATTGTTCATCATTAAAACTTTTTTGTGTATTTTTGAACGTGTAATGCTAACATGTATTACACAATTTATTTATAAAAAATCAGCTAGAAATAGTAAATTACATATTACCCCACNTAAAATGTTCCTATGCTTACAAAAGTATGAAAACCCAAAAGAATATATTATTCTGAAGTAAAAGTAAATCCAAAAATAAATGGCAAATAGCATTAGTAAAAAAGATTAAATTGCGAATATTCGGTAAGCTCCAAAAAATGTTATATTCAATTATATCCCCCCCCTGGTTCCCTGCTCCTTATTATACCAGATATAAACGGTGCAAAATTTTCTAATTACAATGCTACATTCTACACCCCAGGCTAGGGTAAATAATGCTGATATTTTACAATTTTTGTTTTAAGGTCTATTTTGCCATTTTAAATAATGAATTACGCCTTTTTAATGTAAAAAAGTAAAAACATTTCTAAAACATTTTTGCGAATCCTGGTGATACCGACACCTAGCCTGGCAATAATAATAATTATGCTTAGCTGAAACTTTCACAAAATTGAAGTTTCTGACTTTGAAAAAATATTAAAATTTTATTTCAATTGGTTGAATTTTCCTTTTTTATATTTACAATACTATCAGTACACCGATATAACCAATGTTTAACAGATAGGTATAAAATTTAATAAATTCGCGGGGTCGCTGAACTGTTTACCGCCGGTTGAAATTTGAATCACCGATTCAAATCCTTCTTAAATCTTAAACTTTGAATCGGTGGTTCACATTTGTACCGGCAGTAGTTCAGCCACGTAGCTCAAATTTATTAAATTTGGTCTTAGTTTAGGTAAAATGTTGAATTTAGATTTAATCAAAACCTGTGGTACATGATAACCGTAGAGCACATATATATTGACGTTGCCCGGGTTTCTATTATTTAGTCGCTTGGTATTAAATAAATGATTTTATGCTTATGTCGCGGCAAAAAATAAATTTTCTAAAATTTAACATGCGTAGCTTCCAGGGTGCCTAACCTGGTCCCTTTTAAAAAATCCAACCAATCCAGGATGTATAATGTCAGGTAAAAAATTATTAGTTTTAGAATTTTTACCAAGAAAGGGGCGCTTTAAGGTATTCATGTACAAAAGTTTCTTTACTAAATAAATAAAACAACATTCCTTTTCTATTGGTATTATCTGGTGTATGCTTAAAGGAACTGAATACTCGACACAAATTCTAATTTTGATTCCACTTTTCTTTAGAAGCTGGTGTCGTACTAACCTTTGATATTTCAAGATATAAATTCTGCTATATCAAAAGGTTTACGATATCAGGGAACGAATTTACTGAATTTGAGCTGCGTCACAACTACCTGTTGCCAGTTTATTTAAAGATTCAGTGTCCGAATTTAATGAATTTGAGCCGCGGCTTAAATTTGAGACGCGACTCAAATGTGGTTGGTTTCACTTAAAATTGTTTTAAGATTCAAGGCGGCGCTCAATTGAGACCGATTTTTGGCGACTTTGAGACGCGGTTCAAATTCATAAAATTCGGACTCAGGAAGGATTTGAATCGGTGATTCAAATTTAAGCCGGCGGCGGTAAGCAAATCGAATTCATTAAATTTAGTGCCAGGATGTAAAGATAAAAGGAGGGTTAGATTAGAGTATTAGGCGAGTGTTCAGTTTCTTTGCTGTTTAAAATGCAAAAAACCCTGGCCAGGGATAACATAAGTATAATGCGTTATGATGAAAAGTTAACTTTTTGTGATGTCTTCTTTGACTTTTTTTTCCACTGAGTACATAAAAAACCATTAAAAAAATGCTCATTTTCGTTTTAAATACTTTTTTTCATTAATAAATTTTTTTTGAGTTTTTCTTTGTGTACTTTTAGCAGGGTATTTAGGAAACTTGTCCGAGATTATTTCTAATATAAAAACATATTGTAAAAGTTGGCATATTCATAATAGAGTAACTGAACAAAATAAATAAAATTTTTGGTTGATTATGATAAACTCATAACATACGGTACAATGGTGTACAAAGTGTACAATTGGGATCCATGGCATCACTTTAAGAAACGACTTTGCATCGTGTCGTGTAAAATTTGTTCAATTCAAGAAAATAATAAATATAAAATAAAATTATTGAATCTTGAAACGATAAGCAATGAAAATTTCATGTATAAAAAACAAGAACCTTGAATGTAAAGAAGAAATGAACAACATATTGAAAATATCAGATCTGGAACTATTGTTCGTCAAGTAGATGCGCTTGTACTAAGATCTACGGTAGGAGTGGAAATTCCCAATTTGAGGGGGTGCATAGCCCCCTGGGATTCCAATCCGTGGGGGCCCTGAAGGTTCAGCTGCATAGGCCACAGGGGCAACCACAGGAGGGGAAAAGTACTCAGGGGTGGCAGAGCTGGAGTACTGGGGAGGGTTCATTGGCTTCTGATAAATCCTGGTATATTCCGGTGGACCAGGGGCTGGGTGCAAATGGTACCCAGTCATTGACATTTCATACTTTGGTTGGTGGGGGGATTGAGGGGAGGCGGCGTGGGGTGAGTACATCTCTTGAGGGGTGGAAGGGGGTGGGGTTGGTCCTGGAGGAGAACCCCAGTAGGATGTGGTGAAGGTGTGGCTAGGAGCTGGGTTTGGAGATATAAAATGGTGTCCGTTGTAATGTATTGGGTGAGAAGGGGCTAACGGGGCGTAGGAGTTATGATGTTGGGCGGGGGGTGGGGCTCCCCATCCATGAGATTGTTGACTAACAGGGGGCGTTCCCCAGTGTCCTGGACCAACGGTGAACGCAGTCGGAGTAAAATTCTGTGTAACGGGAGGCGGGAGTGTGGGGGGTGCCCCCCATCCACTGTAAGTAGGTGTAACCTGGGCCTGTGCCCCATTATGTACCCCATTCTGGGCGGGCGTGCCCCACTGATCGACCAAGGGTCCGTTATTAAGCTCCGAAATATTTGTCCTAGGTTCAGCTCTCTTGATCTCCACCTGCTTGTTCTGTATGTTGACATAATGTTCTGCTACAGCTAGATCTACAGCATCCTCGGTAGTATAGGAGAGGAAACCAAACCCTCGAGCCTTCTTCTTCTCCTGTAAATATATATACATCCTATACTCTCTAGCCTGATATACAGTACGGGTATATATTTTTTGTAAACCCTCCCCATTCCGCAAGTACTTCCACACAGTTTAAAAATTTAGGGTTTTTATATATTTTTTTTGCTAATTTTTTTTTTCAAAATAGGGAGTAAGTATCAAATTTCATTTTCTCCCAAAAATATTCAAATATTCTTTTTACTTTTCTCCCGATCTGGGGGTAATTCATTAGAGTAAATTCCTACAGGAATACAGGAAATATAGTAAATTCCTACAGGAAAACCGGGAATATAGTAAGTTCCAACAGGAATACCGGAAATATAGTAAAATCCTACAGGAAAACCGGAAATATAGTAAATTCTTACAGGAAAACCGGAAATATAGTAAAATCCTACAGGAAAACCGGAAATATAGTAAATTCCTACAGGAAAACCGGAAATATAGTAAAATCCTACAGTGAAAACCGGAAATATAGTAAGTTCCAACAGGAATACCGGAAATATAGTAAAATCCTACAGGAAAACCGGAAATATAGTAAATTCTTACAGGAAAAGTAAAATCCTACAGGAAAACCGGAAATATAGTAAATTCCTACAGGAAAACCGGAAATATAGTAAAATCCTACAGGAAAACCGGAAATATAGTAAATTCCAACAGGAAAACCGGAAAAATAGTAAAAAGCAATGACGACCCTTTCCCAACAGAAATTGTTGAATGTATTGTAAATTGGTGGACCAGGTTAAAAATTAACGTTTTTGTGGACACTCATGGGCAGCCGGGGGTGACATAGGTTAAAAAAATTCCATTTTTATCCCACGGGCAACGCCTTTTAGCTGGTAAATAATAATAAATTTTTAAATTCTATTATTAATAATTATATATTATTAATATTATTATATTTTTTATATATTGTATTTAGGGTGACCCTTAGTTTATTTATAATGATAACATATTCTAAAGTTTTATATTTCTAAAAATTGTACAAAATGATTATTATACCTGATCGTACATTATCACCACCTCCATAACTTCTCCATATCTAAAACAAACACAAAAACTAATTTTTCCTCCATCGAGACAATTAAGTTTTAAATCTAATTTGCTTATTATAATTTGTTCAGTTACTGTAATTTCTTTATATATAATGCCATACACAATTTTCATATTTTTTGGCTGTTCATTATTTTTTTGTCGAAATATGCATTTTGTTCTGGGGATAAATTCGTATTTTTACTTATTAAGAATTCGTTAAACTCAGGGAGCCCTTATAGAAGGGAGAGACAACTGACGCGGTTCGCCCTACCTTTAGTAGGGGCCTACAGGAAAAATATGTATTGGCGAAACTGGTGAAAGAAAATTGAGCCAATACATATTTTTCCTGTAGGGCCCTACTAAAAAATCAAACAGCTCGATATAAAATGGAGTACCGTCTGCAAAGCATGTATAATCATATGGTAGGGCGAACCGCGTCAGTTGTCTCTCCCTTCTATTCCTTGCTCCCTGGTTAAACTTCGCCACTTTCTCCATTGGAAGGGAATAGAATCTTGATGTATTCTTTAACAAAGGTCGCATTCCTTGACAATTTTTGGCAATTTCTTTATTAATCAGAATTTTCAAATCTGAAACTGTTTGCCTTAACAAGTGGAGGTGTGGTGGGGTGGGGCTAAAGGATAGAAACATAATGGGGGGAGAAGGGAGATTAATTCACCTGGAGAAAAAGGCTCTGAGATCCGTCTCTGTGATACTACTAGGTAGTCCTCCTAGGCACAAAAACTTTGCTTGTCTGTTTGTAGAACGGCTGAACCGATCGGGCCCAAATTTTGTGTGGGACCTCACCATCCTTTGTTCCTATGCATTTTTCACTATAAGAGGACTTTTTCCGGGGATTTTTTTTAATAAAATCACAGAAAAAAAACCAAGAAAATAAATTCTCAAAAATATAGGACTTTATTTCCAGGGATTTTTTATTTCAAGGATTTTTTTCCACAGGACTTTTCTAGTACCAAAATTTAGGACTTCATTTCCAAAAACTTTTTTCAAAGAACTTTTTTGGCGGTTACAACATAAATAAATGAAAGAATTTAATTGTGTAATATAAATGAATACGTAAATAGAAATGATTTTCGAAGCTTGAAAAATCTTTGTTTAATAATAAAAATTAAAAAATCATAACGGATAAATAAATAGATAAATAAATTGACCACCATTGTTTCAGTAGAAGTAATTTACTGATAGCGCCGATTGAAGGATTCATAACTCTAATTGGATAATGAGAGAGACAGAGAGATAGATGTTACCGCCATATTATTTCTATTGGTTCAGAATAGACAACAAACACATGACTGAACCCTGATATTATTGACACACTATTAAATGAAGAAAAAAAATTTCACAAGAAAAAAAAAATATTTCTAAAGTTTAAAATTGACCTAATATGGTATAAGGTGGAAGGGATAGAGTTTATGTACATATTTTAATGTGATGCATTAGATCATATTAAGAATTAGTTTAATCAAAACAATAACAAATATTGTAAACAAAAGTCGGTATTTTCTAGGTAGGTTTAAACAGTTTTGTTTATTAATAAAACACGTTTATTTGCAATCAATAACCCGATCAATCAATCAATCAGCTAATCAATCAATCAATCAATCAATCCCACCTAAGAACACTTTAGGCCAGGTCGTGTTTTTCTTTGGTTTCTGTGCAGACCGAGGATTACAGGGTTTAGGATCGATCGTTCGACCGTCCAGGGTGTGCGGGCAGCTCTGGATCACGGAATCAATGTTCGAAGGATCGCTAAACGTGACGAAACCGAAGCCTCGAGATCTTCCCGTTTCCGCGTTTTTCATCACGACGCAATCGATAACTTCACCAAACCTTAAATAATAATAATAATGATAATAATAATAATAATAATAATAATAACCTGGAGAAATATCTAAGTAGATTATCCTGTGCAGTTTCCCAACTGAGTCCTCCAACAAACACCTTCCCTGCCTCCTCATCCTTTATAATATATATAGATATATATTTATATTTGTAGATTTATAGATTTATAGATAGAAAGAAAGAGATTTCTTGGGTGGATAAATAGATATGTTGGCCGGTAAAAAGATGGATTTATAGACAGTAATATGTATAGATAGGTAGAGAGAAAGATAGACAGATAGATGTAAATAGATATATAAATAGATAGATAGAGAGAGAGAGAAAGATATATAGATAGATGTAAAGAAATAAAAAGCTATACTTTTCCCCACAAATAATCAACTCATCAATTCTCTACCAAATTATAAATCATAAATCATAAATCATAAATCATAAATCATAAATCATAAATCATAAATCATAAATCATAAATCATAAATCATAAATCATAAATCTTAAATCTTAAATCATAAATCATAAATCTATTTTAAGAGATTAAAAGTTATTCCCTGCTTTGTAAAACCGGGAATTGTGTTAACTTATGAGTATATTATATATTATATATTACAACAATAAAAGATGGTATCCATTTGTGAACTTAAAACAGGGGCGTTTCTGGGATTAACAAACTCTATCAAATAAAAGTAACCCGAATAACCCCCCTTACTTACGCTACTGTTTGTTTACTAACATTGGACAAACAAGAAAAATAAATTTCTGATTAATTATTATCTAAAATCTGACATCTACAGTGGTAGATAATCTATATATAAATTTAGCTTGTCTGGAAGTCTGTTTGGGTTGGTGTCTGTTTGTTTGTATCCAATAAACGTCCAAGTGGCTGAACCGATCGGGCTCCCGTGACCCCAGGGAAGGTTTATGAATGATCAAAATTGTGTGTTTAAAAGTTTTTAATTTTTGTAAAATTTTGAAAATGTGTGAAAAAATATTATGAAATCCGCAAACTTTTTTGTTTTTGTTCTATAATGTACAAAGAGAAGATGCTCACAGATAAAGCCACAATTAAGAGGTTAAATAGAAGATGGGCGCGAGCGAAGCGCCCTAAAAGCCTAATTATTTTATAATCTATTAAGATTATAACAACTGAAAGGAAATGTAGCCATACATAGTTATAAGTGATTCTTTTTATTAAAGCAGCATATCCAATTTAACAACAGTACCCTTAAAATCTATGTTTTTCACTTAGAAAATTGATTTTTTTCAACTATGATATTAGGGTATCAAATTGTACGAATTTAGCAATTTTCAAGCTATAATAACAAAAATTTCTTTTTTATTCTCTGATAAAGGTTTCGTTTTCAGTGCATAAAAGTTCACTTGAAATTACAACAACATGTAAATATTTATTTACCTCATGCTTGTTATGTTTCCTACTCTGCCCCCGTCCTCCGGAACCATTATGGGTCACAAAAGCCATTTCACAGCAAAAGTTACCTAAGACGGAAATAAAAATAAAATAAAATAGAAATAAAATAAGCGGAAATAATCATATTTTACCAATCATATCACTATACAACCATGTTATATGTTGTCGGCCATTTTGTAAATTAATCAGTGAAAAAAAATATTTAATAATACTTTAAAGATTCTTTTTTTACTAATTTTAACCATGGCATTAATAAATAAATGGGTGAGAAATTAAGTGACGGCCCTTCCAGTGAAGAAAGCAAACACATCTGGCGTTCCTTGATTTAAATTTGTTGATCTAAATAATTAATCTCAAGAATAACATAATCTCGAGATTATGTTTTTGGAAAGGTTAGTTTTTATTGATTGAGTATAATACACATTTTTCTTAGTCCACCCTGTATACGCACTTGATTACAACAATAATTTAGCTGAATAACGAACGAAAATTAATGTTCATCATTTCAATATTCAATTGTACCTTATCATTTAACGAGTTGTAGAAATTGAGTAAAAAAGTTAGTTGCTAGCTTCGTTTATTCCATAGTTTCGGTTCTGCTAATCCCAAAACATTTATATCACTATTGTGCATCATTTTTTCCTTCGGGTCATCTTCAATAACCTAAAAATTGTATAATTTATTGTAAAATGCTTTGGTTAAGTATTTCTGGAGAAAAACTAATGGAAAAATTAGCTTATTTTACAAAAATGATCAAAGAAAATCCGCAAGCCTAACCCGCAACGTAATCAATCCCGTTTAGAGCGCAAATGCCTCGTATTGTTCTGTGGAACTGTCAATAGCGCATTATTTAAATGCCATCGGTGAAGACGACATTTAATCAGTCTGTTCAAGGTATATAGTAAATAACACGAATAAAAGTTTAAAACCTACCCTAACCCTCAAATAATACAAAAATAAACAGCTGCGTAGGTCTGATATTGCAGTATAGGTCGGAAAATTAGTAGGTCAGAATTGTTCAGTAGGGGGGATGTTGCCATATAGACGATGTAACATTACCGTTTGTTTGAACTACTACAGTTTGAACCATTGGTCGTTTTAAACTATTGTTTATTTGAACTACTGACACGACGTCATATCGTGTAGGTTGAATTAGCACGATCCAGTATTTAAGCTCATTTGAACTATTTTCTAGGAACATCATTAATAATTTTGAGATTGACACGAGCATCAATTAGAATATGAACAACAACAAATATTTCAAATGATATGGTTCAAGTGAACGTAAGAACAGTTGAAATAAACCAAAAAAAAACTTAAAATAGTTTAAATACAAAACTATTTCAAATAAACAAATAAATAGTTCAAATGAACCAGATTATAGTTCAAACGTGTGTAAATTAGGTTTTTACAGGCGACCCCCAAAGTTTTCATTGGATACACCAAGCTTTTTGTCGGAGACCCTACGTATTTTTATCCTTGGTTTTTTCAGCAGAGACCAGTTTTTTTCTCAAAAAAAATCTAGGTATAGCTCCGACAAAACTTGGAAGTCTTCAATAAAAATCACAGAAAAAATTTGGTCACCATGCGATTCAGCTATTTTACGCTTATTGAACCAAATTAACCCAACAAACAGATAGATATACAGAGCGTCCCATATCATATTAGATTATCTCCAATCTTTAGCACCAAAATAAACCCTTAATACTCGAAAAACTTATCATTTTCCGCAACAATTTTCTTATATATAAGCCTTATGTTATTTTTGAAAATGATTCATTCTAATGAAATTTTCTAATTAGTCCCAAAAATCGCAATTTATAGTTATAGTTATAGTATTTATTTTCAAACACAAAATACAAAATAATAATGTATGATGGTTCAGCTTAAAATTAAACACAAAAGAAACTTTATTAGGAGCCAATTCAAAATATAATGTTTGATAATTTTGTTTGATAGTTTTTGTTGAAACAAAGTATACATATTGAAATCTCAACTGAATATGCATTCATTGTGCATTTACAAGTAGATAATTAGTCAGCACTCAAATAATCAAAACATTTTCAGGAATGCATTCATTGAACTTATGAATACATATTGATTCAACAAAAGTAGAAATGTATTCTCGTTGACCGTAGTAGACTTGACATCTACCTTTAGCAAAGGGTGTGTACCCATACTCGTTGACTTTAGTAGACTTTGACATTCATCATTAACATTAGACCCGTTGACGGTCTAATATGATGTGGGACACCCTGTATATGTAAACACTATGTTTTCGGGACGATTTGCCACTTTGTACATATGATATGTACAGTTGTAAGTTGTTTTGTCTGTTTGTTTCATTGTCCGATCATAACTCATGAACACCATGACGGTTTTGCCTAAACTTTTGATTGGGGAACTCGGGAGAACCGCAGGAGTGTTCTTAGCTTAGATTTGAAATTCTAAACTGAGTCAGTCCACTCTTCTGGGGAAAAATAGCTAAAATCGTAATATACGACTAAGCGCGACTAAACAGCGGGAGTATCTATGAGTACCCTGGGCAATGCTGAGTTCTAAAGCTAGTACATTACAAATTAATTTATATTTGTATTATCTTTTATCAAAATGAATAAAAAAACGTAATTAAAGGATCAAATACTTTTAATTGTAAGATCTTGCATATTTTCTGTTTTAATTAAAAAATCCTTCCAGCTTAAAATCTTTCTTTATTTGATATTCCACAGTATTATCGGACACCATTGATCCCAGCAATTGGGTTAACAGAGAGTTACCATCTGACACTTATTAAATCACTAATTTGGGGAAACGGGTCTGTTTACTCAGCACAATTGCTATGTTTCATGCTCATTGGAATTTCAATAACTAGATTCTAAACTTTGTCTTCCGATTTCAGAGTTTTCTGACTACATTTCAATTTATTTTATATCATCTTTATTACTCAAAGAAGCAAAAAAGTATTTAATTTAGTTTAGATTTAAGAAATTATATATTCAATTGTTAACACAAATTCGAAATATAAGGAAGACTATTTTACCGACTCAAATGCCGATGACTATTCTCAAGACGTGTGTATCCATTTCCGCCATGAAGCGCCCACATGTCACCCTTGCTCCTACGTTCCCCCCTCACCCCTCTACACATCCCAGCCCTCAGTCAGGTTAGGAGAGTTGAGCTAGTAACAGCTCCGACACAGGGAGCCTCTTGACTCCTTCATGATGATGATACAGATACTCAGCCAACAGCAGGCGTGCTTATACCTGAGGGTTACCAGTTCATCATGCATTCCAGAGACAACATAATCGCTCATAGCCAGCATGACAAGCCGCAATCTCTTCCTACTGATTTTGATAAGCCCTGTTGTCCCAGTTCCTGTTGATCTGCTCCACCAACATGAAGCTCTAAAACACTCCCATGAAGTCCCATCAAATATTCATCATTAATTCCTTTGTTAATTTCTAAATCAACCAATTTTAACTCCGTCTTATATGCAAATATTTCAAAACTTTCGTTTTTTTAAATAAATGTTAGAAATATCCATTTTTAGATCTCTTTATTTTACTATAGTGACTTTTGAAGTCAAAAACAATATATAATATATAATATTTATATGTATGTAGAAGAAATTAAACTTCTCCATATCTCTTCTGTGAAAGATTTTAATTTTCTTTAGTTTGAAGTGTCGTTAACCAATTTTGAAAAATTAATTATTGAGAAATGATTTATTGTTTATTATTTTTATTTCCGTAAAACGAAACTGATTTTTAAATTTTTAAATTGGATCAATTTTTGGAAAATCTAATGTATATTGCATAAAATAAAGGATTTATTTAACCGAGAAAATTTATAGTTTTAAGAAATATTGAAAGTTTAAAGAAAACTTTATAGTTTTTAAAAAAATTTATAGTCTTAATAAATATTTAAAGTTTTAAGAAAAATTTATAGTTTTTAAAAAAATTTATAGTTTAAAGAAAATTTATAGTTTTAAGAAAATTTATAGTTTTAAAAGTTGTATGTCCTTTTCTACACAATACAGAATACAGATGTCTTTAGGATTGATTAAAATAAATACATGGTTACCCACAAAGGATGAGACTTCAGAGACGACTGTTTGGAATTTGTACTGTCTGTTTCCTAATATTCACGATTTCCTGCTACAGTCAACTTTTTTTTTGCCAAGTCATCAAAAAAACATTAGATTACTATATCTAAGGTATAGAATACATAATTTAACCTTGGGATCTTTAAATTCTATAGAGGTTCCGGTCGTCTTTACAGTCTCATTCTATACAGGTTCCAGTCGTCTTTACAGTCTCATTCTATACGTGGTCCGGTCGTCTTTACAGTCTCATTCTATACAGGTTCCAGTCGTCTTTACAGTCTCATTCTATACAGGTTCCAGTCGTATTTACAGTCTTATTCTATACAGGTTCCGGTCTTCTTTACAGTCTTATTTTATACAGGTTCTGGTCTTCTTTACAGTCTCATTCTATACAGGTTCCGGTCTTCTTTACAGTCTCATTCTATACAGGTTCCGGTCGTCTTTACAGTCTTATTCTATACAGGTTCCGGTCGTCTTTTACAGTCTTATTTTTGTTGGTAACCCTGTACAGTCCTATTTATAACCTATTCCTAATCTATAAACTTGTAAACTACCAGCTGAAAAGTTTTCTGGATCTTTTAAAGGGACTGTAAGCTTAATTTCAAGTGACACTCCCAGCAAAGATGGCATTGTCCGATTCACCATTGAACCCCTTTTTAAGATCTGTAATGTTAAAGATATCTTCGGTTTTCTAGGTCCTACATTGATAAATTTAAATAATTCCTATATAATTTCCTGCAGTAGATATGTGCAAGAAAAATTTGTAAAGAAATCACAATTTTTAATAAACAATTTTTTTAAAATATAAACATTGATATCTAGTTCATATCTAATCAGACAAAGCTTTTAAGGATATCAATGAGAATCGGGCACTGCTATCTTTGCATGGAGAGTCATACATACATGTACATATACGTATACATATTTTACAGATCCTGTGTCTTGTGTCTAGTATCTGGTGAACTGGTATCCAGTGTCTGGTATCTAGTATCTGGTGTACTAGTATCCTGTGTCTGGTGTCATCTTCTAGTGTCTATTTTCTGGTGTACTGGTATCCTTTGCCTAGTGTCATCTTCTGGTGTACTTGTATCCTGTGTCTGGTGTCTAGTATCTGGTGTACTGGTGTCCAGTGTCTGGTATCTAGTATCTGGTCTACTAGTATCCTGTGTCTGGTGTCTAGTATCTTGTGTACTAGTATCCTCTGTCTGGTGTCATCTTCTGGTGTACTGGTATCCTGTGTCTGGTGTCTAGTATCTGGTGTACTGGTATCCAGTGTCTGGTGTCTAGTTTCTTGTTACTTTTATCCAGTGTCTGGTGTCTAGTATCCAGTAACTTGTATCCTGTGTCGGGTGTCTAGTATCTGGTAACTTGTATCCAGTGTCTGGTTTCAGATATCCCTTTATTGGTATTCAGTGTCTAATGTCTAGTGTCTGGCTACTTGTATCCAGTGTCTGGTGTCTAGTATCTGGTGTGCTGGTATCAAGTGCCTGGTGTCTAGTATCTAGTTACTGGTAGCCAGTGTCTGGTGTCTCTGGTGTACTGGTATCCAGTGTCAAGTGTATAGTATTTAACTATTTGTAACCATGTCTGGCTTCAAGTGTCTGGTGTCCATTGTTCGGTGTGTCAAGTATCAAGTACGTATGAAGCATCAAGTTTAAACTATATTTTTAATAATTTCTCACAATTTTTCACATATTGTTAAGTGTCCTGGAGTATGTAATTTTCTGGTATTGGTATTTTCATCTGGTTAAAATTGATTCATGTCTGTTTTCTGGTTCAAGAATGTCTGGTATCTGCAATCTGATAATCAGCATTTACCAGAAGCTGCATTTTTCTCGATCCATTCTCTGAAAATAATATTTTTTGTAGAAATGAAAAAAAAATAGATTTAATTACTGAAAGGGAGTAACCCTGAATTTAAATTGATGAATGCCCAATTCATGAAGGTCCGGTATTTAATCTTTTTTTCTGTTTTGGAAAATATAAAATTCTCTTTATAATTTCTCTTTTGTCACTGCTGCATGATTTTACAATTCACTTTTAGCAGAGAAACTCACAATCATTTTTGCTTAGAAAAATAATTAAAGGGTACTATTGTGAATCGAATAGAGGGTGAATTTAAATAACAAGGACGGTCCCTTTAAATGAATTTACTTGTATGCGGAAACTCTAGCGTAGATTCCAAAATTGTCTTGCCTGAAAAAAAGCATAAAATTAAATTAAAAAGATTTTAGCGATTTTTCTTCGTCACACATTATTGTTCATAAGAAATAAAGATATCTTATTTTCTGTAAAACAAAAATTACAAATTGCATAACTTGTTGAACATCACAACTCTTTTTTTACTTTATTGACAAAACATATGCAGATAATAGATATTAATAATACCTTTTTAAACATTAAAACACTAATAAAGAAGTTACAAAATTTCACACTTAACAATTTGGTTTTATCAAAACGTCTGTAAGTCTTTACTACAATGGATACAGATAAAGAAGTGATATTCTAAATGAAATTAGGGGGGGGGGGGTGAAAAACAAAACAATTGGAAGAATAAACTAGATTATACCTTTATTCTCGACAGATATAAAAAAGAATACAAGGAATTGAGTCCTTACCACGAATCCACATTTTCTTATAAATATATCTTTGCAACCTGAAGGCGGACCTTTAATATTTCAAACTTAGAATATTTGATCTCACAGAATTTATAGTTAGAAATATCTATGGTCTACGATATTGGGTTGCGCAGATATGGGGATTAGAAAGTCAGAGTTTGTGGCGAAGACCCAATTCTTTTAACGAATTAAAGAATAGGCTAATTAGATTTGATCCTTAACGGAGATAAAGTGTTGAAATCAATCAAAGAAATCAATAAACGAGATCAATTATTTGAATATTTATCATAACTAGGCTTTTAAGGCGCTTTGTTTTTCAACTTGTTTGTGGCTATATCTGTGAGCATCTTCTATTTGTACAATATAAAACAATAACAAAAAAAGTTCGCTTTTTTAAAAATAATTTTTCGCGAATTTTCAAAATTTAACTAAACTCAAAAACGTTTGGACACATTATTTTGTAATTTTAAGCATCCATAAACCTTAACCCTGAGGTCATGAAAGGTCCCTCACAAAATTTTGGGCCCCATCGGTTCAGCCGTTTATTGGACACAAACAGTCAGACAAACACCTAGACAGACAGTCAAACAAAGTAAATACATATAAATTGTTTACCTAGCACACCCTGTTCCTCTATTAGTAACTCCAGCTAGATAAGCTTTCTGCTCATGAACTATCCAAAGCGGGCCCCCAGAATCACCTTGTAAAAATTTTATTTTTATAATATTTATTTTTTTTAGAAAACGTTATAACGGATTTCGAAAAATGTGAGTGGTGCTGCGCGGCATTCTTAGATAGTTGCGCAAGCGACATGAGAAATAATCAAATTCAAAACAAATTAATTAAAAAATATTATAAAATATAAACTATATACAAATGTGGCGAAAGATAATCGATGACTATAGTTTGTAATATCTGAATGATTTGTTTGAAATTAAATTGATTTTTACGGTCTTAGTGGTATGTTGTAATTTTCTGAATTTGTATGGGCGCTAAGTTGTTCGGTATGCGACTTCTTTAACATTTTTCTCCTTATAGACGCAACAGATAGAAGTAAGATTAGTAGCGATCAAAAGCGCTTTTTTATCGCATTAGGCCTATACCCCCTTTCATTTTTGCGAACACTCCCTTTAATTTAAGAGAAGTATTTACCTTGGCAAGTATCACTTCCTCCCCAAACTATTTCTGTAATGTTCTTTACAAATTTAAAATCTGCTCCCTCTGAACAACTCAATTATTCATATATTTACTTCCACACAGACCTTACCTTACGTTACATATGTTTATGATTTTTTAATGCACAATTTTTCATTTATAATCCACAGTTATATAAATATTATATACTTCTTTTCCCTCAATTTTTCTTAATAATTTCTTAATTTCTTTCTAAATCTTATAGAACATTTTGAACATCAACAAAAAACAAAATTGTGGATTTTCTTTTTTTTCAAATTTCTATTTTCTAAATTAAATCTTTTTCAGGCGCATATAAAACAGTTTGTCTTCAAAAATAATTGATTTCCTTGTTTATATGTTGGAATAGTAAAAACTTGCTTCTTTGCTGCACAGAATTCTATTTCTGGTATTGGTCGTCGAGCAAGCTCGGAATCTTTTTTTAAAAATTCCTGAAGGATAGTAGTTTAGTCTTATACATTTAAATACAAATAAAACTGTGCATTGTTTTACGGGGTTGAATAATTCATGGTCAAATTTGCAAGCATAAAACTTGCCCAATGTTACTTTGACTCTGAATTATTTTTTATATCACTGTTAATGTAATGTCTGGTGTATTTCAAGAACCTGGCTGACATCTAACCAGCTAGATCGAGATTTACGCTAGACATAAAGATTATATAAGGCAAGGCAATATTGCGAGAAAAGTTATTTCAGAGGTGTACGCATAATTTGTACTGCAGTGTACTGTCTCCGGGCGGTAAAGTAAGCACAAAACGGATGTCGAAGCCTGACATGGGATTCATCTTTCGCATAAGAAAATCAAAGAAATATTCTGGTCATAGGAAACTATTATGTGATTTATCTAAATTATCAAAAATTTAATGCTTTTAACCTCCTCGGATACTAAACGAACACTGATGCATCTATTCTTGTTTACAAATTCCGCCCAGAGAGAACTGGTTTCAATATGTACGCAGAGTATACGCAACTGCAATTAACTTTCCCTGCATTATCACCTTGATATAAGGCAAAACGGAACAGTATACCAAATGATAAATAATAAGTAACACTTGCCGTAAGTTACATATATGCGGACGCAAAAACAATGTGTTAACTTTTCTTTTTTGCCCTGGCCCATTTCTTTGCTAGCTCTGCGGTCGGTTCAAGAACTTATGTATGCTAGACATAGTAGTTAAGAAGAAAGTACAGTATTGAAGAGAAAAACTTTAGGGTTTATTTGATACCAATGAGACATTTTTACAGTGTACAATATTTACATAAGAGTGTAAAGTCGTTTGTAATATTTCACCAGTTGTTTCAATCAGCAGAAGAAACGGTTTTTTTACTATTCTTAAATAACACAGACAAAACGTGTTACAAATACTATTATACAAATATAGTATTTATACAAACAGGTTGAGAAAATTAATGAATTCTTATATCATTGGAAATAATTATGAAAATTCTTTCAGCTAGAGTTACTTGTTGGAGGGTTTCTTTACTGTGATTGCAAAGACGACATTTTGAAGAAATCTGCGAATAAAATTATTGAGACAGCAAAGGTAATGTGATCATAAAATAATTGAATTTACGGTTCTACTATGGTCTTTATCGATAACTTCTTTTAAGAAATATGTTTCTAAATAGCAAATTAATTAGTCTATAATATTTTTTTACATATTTTGTCCGTGATACATAATAATAACAAAAAGCTTATCTTCTGCTAACTGAAACAACTTATTGATATCAAATGAATCCTAAAGTTTTACCCTACAATGCTGCACTTTCAGCCTAACTCCAATGTCTAGCAAGTCACTCCCTTTAAAGTTTAACTTACTGCAAGTGTATTACAATGCAAAACATGGCAGACGTATATATTTTGTCAATTAAACTGCTATTACGAATATACACTTTAAACTCTGATACCTGAACATTAAATTAAGTATAAGATGCAATTAGATTGCTAATTATTTCAACAAATTGGAAAATCTAAAGATTTTTTATTGATTTGTTTAAGCAAATGCAATATTTGATCGCAATTATTAATTTTTTCTTTTTCTATAGATCGATTTTTTCAAAATCCTTTTTTTCTTACCTTGGATTTATCATCACAATCCTAAAGTCACACTTTAAAAGTTTAAAATTTGACGTAATTATTAATTGCATATTTCTCATGAACAAAATTTTGTAGTATACGCGGAGGATAACCAGAAAACTCTGAAATAGGAAGACGACTTTTAGAATCTAGTTATAACTTCAACAAGTTCAAGTTCGTAATCTCAATTTGTGTAGCGCGAAAAGTAACAAATATATCGTATTAGATAGATACACGATGTATTTATTTGGTCCAGATTACGGGAAACTTAACATTTAAGTTGTAACTTTTCGTTCTTTAGTTTTAGACCCAGGTAAAGTTATACATATATGTAAAAAATTGTATGACGAATATCAAGATTTAAAATTTTTGAAAATTCATAACTGCAATTTCAAGAGTTAATAAAATTCCGATATGGATTGAGAGTATTTGTTTTTGTTTTAAATTGTACTTCCCTTATCTGATAAGGAAGTAAGTTGGGCTTCCTGAAATAGTTGAAAACTTTTTATCTGAATTTTTAAACTTAAAATAATTGTTTGATTTTGAAAATTAATAATAGATGTAATACAGTGACGTTTTGAAAAATCACATGTATCTTGGGATGGATCGTTTCAACTTAAAAAAAAACAATCGTTTCGTATCGAAAATGTCGAAGAAAAAGGATCGTTTACAAAAATATTGTTTTTTAAAAACGGTCGTTTTCAAAAAGATTTTCGTCTTTTAAAATTGATAATTTGTCGTTTCTTGGAAACGGTCGTTTTCCGTTTTTTTAACGACCGTTAACGACGACTCTTTGTTAATGATCGTAAACGAGCTTTTATAGAGAAAATACATTTTTTGTCGGAAAATCCGAGGTCAGTCGAAAACATTTAGGTTATTTGCCTCGATAAAAAACATTTAAGACAACATTCATAACCTTATCTTTCTGAAAAAATTAAAATTTAAATAGGGTGGCTTTAAAAAAATCGATTTTTTTTTTAAGTTGAAAACAAAAATTTCTTTTTGAAAACGAAAAATCGGTTTTAGATAAAATAATAACGAAACGAAAAACGATAGTTTTTTAGATCGTTTTAAAAATTTATTAACAACCCTACATGTATCTGCATCTGAAAACTGAGGTTGATATTTGAATGCCGCAAATAGTTTCAAAGATCAAAAGACGATTTTGAAGTTGTTTCGCCAGAAAGTATTACCTGAAGTGCCCCTGCGAATAATCTGTTTGAAAAGCACTGTTTATCACAGTAGCCCCATCCAGCATGGGGAGCCACATCAGCCCTGAAACATTAGGAAGTGAATCGGCCCTGAAATATTGGTCTCTACATCACGCCTGAAGTATTTTAAGCTATATCAGTATTGAAATATTGGAAGTTACATCAGCCTTAAAACATTGGGAGCTACAGTAGCCCTGAATTTTGGGAGCTACTTTAGCCCTAAAATATTGGGAGCTACATCAGACCTGAAATATTGAGAGCTAAAGTAGCCCTGAATATTATGCTACAGTAGCCCTGAATATTATGCTACAGTAGCCCTGAAATATTAATGGGAGCTGCAGTAGCCCTGAAATATTGGGAGCTGCAGTAGCCCTGAAATATTGGGAGCTGCAGTAGCCCTGAAATATTGGGAGCTACAAAAGCCCTGAGAATTGGGAGCTAAAATAACATTGAAGTTAGATAATGTGAAAACTGTGGACTAGGAAGAACCACATTAAAGCTATAAATGTGGTTTTCATGATGTTTTAAAGGAAATATTTTACCAGTAGCTTTAAAATCAACTTATTTAGTTAAATGGGTCTGTTTACACTGCACAATCCTCGGGCATTTATATTCTTTTATTTTTATTTAACATCATTAGTTGAGTAAAACTGTCGTCTTCCTTTACTCCAGATTTATGGGTCTCCCTGTAGTATCTTACCTTGTTCCGAGTTCATCATCTGTATATTTGGATTAATATTTTAATTGTTTTGCAACCAAGTCTGATTAAAGGTATTAAATATTTTTGCAAAAGAATGACGCGTTGGATGTAAAAAATATATATATGTATATATGCTAAGATGATGATGCCCGGTTATCATGCGCCCCCTTTAAACATTTATCTGATCAATAATGTTGAAGATATTGTCGGTTTTCAGTGTTTAAAAGTGTTTATTTTTGATAATTCATATTTGTTTTCCTGCAGTAAAAATGCTTCACTTTTGCAAAGAAACCACAACGGAAAATAATCTACATTGATATATAATTCATACTTGATCAGACAAAGCTTTCAAGGGTACTCTTGTGAATCGGTCATTACTATCTTTGCCACTGTGATAAAAACGATGAGAGTTTTGCCAATAAATTCTTAAAAGCAAAGCTAACAAGAAGTGCTTTTATAGTGCTAAAATGTACGGAAAAACAAGTGAATTAGAGCGGTAAAACCAAAGCCCAAGGCGTTGCGACACTTCGAAGTCGACCCTGTATTAAAAATGTATGACTGTTTTTATAAGCAGGCTGAATCCAAGGTAATAAGGCAAGGAAAGTTAATCGCTGTTGCGTATTCTCTGTGTAGTGTGTACAAATTGAAACCAGTTCTCTCTGGGCGGAATTTGTAAAAAAGAATAGATGCATCAGTGTTTTAGTATCCGAGGAGGATAAAAGCATTTAATTTTTGAAATGTCTGATAATTCACATAATAGTTTCCTATGACCAGAATATTTCATTGATTTTTTATTTGAAAGTTGGATCCCATGTCAGGCTGTGACATCCGTCTTGTGTTTAATTTACAGCCCAGAGACAGTACACTGCAGTGCAAAAAATGTGTACATCTCCGAAATAACTATCTTTACATTATAATTTTTTGGCTGAATCTATATTTATCAATTTTCTCTACTATGCAGCTCTTCTAATGTCTGCTGCTATGTTCCTTGTCTAAATGACGCACTTCCTGCTCACATTCTCAACTCCCTGGCCAGGAACAGCTGATTACATTCTCAACTCCATGGCCAGGAACAGCTGATTCCATTCTCAACTCCCTGGCCAGGAACAGCTGATTCTTTCCAGTTTTTTTTTTCAATTTGCCAAGCGAAGAGGAGCTAACGCTGAATTTAACCCGGTGCTTTTTTAGCTAGCTATTGCAACTGTAGAGCTCGTAGATTGAGAGAATTTCATAATTGTTGTAATGTCCTCTAAAACTAAAAAAGTGTAGCAAAAAATGTTGCAAAGAGGGTCATATGAAATTACGCGTACAGTCCCTTTCAATACCCACTAAAACCTACATTCAACAAATGCACTTTTGGAAACATGAGAATGTTCATGTAAAGAAACGGATTCATCTCTAATTTTCTAATTCTTATTTGCAACCGGAGCCGTAGCCTTTCAAACTCATGAAAACTGTCACAGTTTAAACCACTAAAAGTTTGAGACTAACATCTTTAAGAAACTTAGAATTTAACCATTTTCTTTCTTTCACACAGCAAGAAACAATACTTGAAAAGTATTGATATCGGATTTAAAGAAGAAAATGAAAGAAAATAAAAAATTAAATCTATTAATCCTTCCGTCGACATCATCACCAGTTTGTCCTTCCTTACAATATCCAGGTTGTCCTTCAGTAGCTCCTACAAGATTAAAGTATGAATTACATAGCAATGTTGTTCCTCTAAACTTTTATTTTCATATGCACGGTTTCTCTTCGAAAGTGGCGTGAGCGGTTTTTGCTTATAAAAAGCAATGGAGAAATTTACAGAGATGAACACGTTCAAAATTAGAAAAATGCGAATATATCTTTCACATTTTTTTTATCAGAGTAAGTCTTTAAGGTTGTCGTTGTAAATTGGGTATTATCATCGCTGCATGGAGGGTCACTTAAACTTACGCTTACAGTCCCTTTAAAGAGGGTTGTGCCCAATTGACAGATGGTTCCCAATAAACCTTTATCTGAATGATATTGATCAGACAAAGTTTATAGGGTACTGTTGTGAATCAAAGTTTATAGGGTACTGTTGTGAATCAAAGTTTGTAGGGTACTGTTATGAATCAAAGTTTATAGGGTACTGTTTTGAATCAAAGTTTATAGGGTACTGTTGTGAATCAAAGTTTATAGGGTACTGTTGTGAATCAAAGTTTATAGGGTACTGTTGTGAATCAAAGTTTATAGGGTACTGTTGTGAATCAAAGTTTATAGGGTACTGTTTTGAATCAAAGTTTATAGGGTACTGTTGTGAATCAAAGCTGACACTATCTAAATAGTGAGTCATTTGAAATTGCAATTACTGTCCTTTTATGGTTACAATTTTATTCAACAAATACCCAGGAATATTTTGATAAATCTTAAACCTAGCCGGAAGGGGGGGGGGCAGCTTCCACCCTCTTCCCCATTCGGGCTTTAGAAATTTTTCTTTTAATGCAAAGGGTTTGGTTAGTTACAGGGTTATGAAGCCAAATTAAGAAATATTTAAAAAATTTTTTTTGAAAAGTTAAACCATTTTCATATAGGCTTTACTTGCTCATATTATAAAAGGGAATTCAGTGTTGAATTTACACCCTTTCCGATCCCCGTATATTAGACACCAAAAAAATCCAAACTTTAGCAAAATTTCAGAATCAAAATAAATCAATGTTTGAATAAATATAAACCTGGTATACAAGTAGCACACCAACCAATAGTTCCACCAGGCATACTTGTTGGAAAACATCTTTTAATTTTTCCATTGATATCTAGATCTGTTTTCCCCTGAAATAGGTTCCTTTGATATCTAGATCTGTTTTCCCCTGAAATAGGTTCCTTTGATATCTAGATCTGTTTTCCCCTGAAATAGGTTCCTTTGATATCTAGATCTGTTTTCCCCTGAAATAGGTTCCTTTGATATCTAGATCTGTTTTCCCCTGAAATAGGTTCCTTTGATATCTAGATCTGTTTTCCCCTGAAATAGGTTCCTTTGATATCTAGATCTGTTTTCCCCTGAAATAGGTTCCTTTGATATCTAGATCTGTTTTAGCTTTAAATAGTATTCCTTAGATATCTAGATCTGTTTTAGCTTTAAATAGTTTTCCTTTGATATCTAGATCTGTTTTAGCTTTAAATAGTTTTCCTTTGATATCTAGATCTGTTTTAGCTTTAAATAGTTTTCCTTTGATATCTAGATCTGTTTTAGCTTTAAATAGTTTTCCTTTGATATCTAGATCTGTTTTAGCTTTAAATAGTTTTCCTTTGATATCTAGATCTGTTTTAGCTTTAAATAGTTTTCCTTTGATATCTAGATCTGTTTTAGCTTTAAATAGTTTTTCTTAGATATCTAGATCTGTTTTAGCTTTAAATAGTTTTCCTTAGATATCTAGATCTGTTTTAGCTTTAAATAGTTTTCCTTTAATATCTAGATCTGTTTTCCCTTGGAATAGTTTTCCTTTGATATCCAGATCTGTTTTAGCTTTAAATAGTTTTCCTTTGATATCTAGATCTGTTTTAGCTTTAAATAGTTTTCCTTTGATATCTAGATCTGTCTTTCCCTAAAACAGTTTTATTTGATGCTGTTTTAAACTGAAACAGTTTTCCTGTTTTTCCTGCACAAACATGAGAACATTTTTTGTTTGTTTTTGAAAAAAATCTCTCCATTAAATTTTTGAATTTTCCCCAATAAATCAGGACAATTTGCTAATTTTTAAAATTATGATTTGAGATATTAATGAAAAATTAAACATTTCAAAACTATTGATGAAAGCAAAATGCCCTGATGCAAGCTGCTGTAGTCATATATTTACCATGGCTAATTCTGGAACCTTCTTGAACAGAAGCTGGCAATCTTTGTCTCTCTTTGCAGGACTGAACAAACAAATCTTTAAGTTGTCAGGCTTATTATTTTTCAAATATGTTGGTAGGCAATGATATCAAAATAAAGAAGATAAGTATTAATTGTTAACAAGCTTTTTGTCGAATTGCTACTTTACAAGTAATTAAAGAAAAGCTTTTTTAATTTACAGCTTCTTTTTGTTTCCATATTTTTTTTTTGGTATATCCATGCTGTTTATATAAATCATAATTGAAATCTAAAGTCGTCTTCATTATATTGATATAATCGCCTGTACCAGCGTAGACAATACAATACACTATAGTTTCAGTAGAAGTAAATTTTTCAATTTACATAGCGCCGATATAAGGATTTATCTCTAATTTGATAATAAGCTAAATAAGATACAATGCAATTTCTATTTGTAGAAAAATATTTTTCTAGAAGGCTTATTTTTGCCGCTTCGAGAAACTCTTGACACTTAGTGACTTAAATCGTTCATTTGCAAGGCATAAAGAAATAAACGATAATCAATCAATCAATCAATTGGAATCTGAGTCTTGCAAATCACAAGAATAAGATAAGATCGACTGGAATATAAAAAGAAATCACAATGAGCCAAACCTGAAGCCTTTCTGTTTTTTTTTCTAATTAAAACTCTTACTTAGACACACTTTCTCTTTTCTACTTTCTGTACGAACCCCTCCCCCTTTTATCATAAAGTGCAAAAATCATCTGCAGAACCGTGTGGTCAGTATTTATGTCAATATAAAGCTGTTGACCGATATACAGAGGCTGAAATATATTTCAATACAGTATCCGTTACTAAACTACTACATGTAAAGGTTGGTTATATTCCAATACAGTATCCGTTACTAAACTACTACATGTAAAGGTTGGTTATATTCCAATACAGTATCCGTTACTAAACTACTACATGTAAAGGTTTGTTATATTCTAATACAGTATCCGTTACTAAACTACTACATGTAAAGGTTGGTTATATTCCAATACAGTATCCGTTACTAAACTACTACATGTAAAGGTTGGTTATATACCAATACTCAGGTACTGATTGTATTAGATCACCATTTTAAATACTGTCACTGTATTGATATATATGCTGACCAATGTACGACAATTTAAATTACCTTTCGTTATTGTTACAATCCTTATCGTTTGTTTTAATATCTTCATCATCAACAAAGAATCTCCTGCACTTAAGCAAACTTTATTAAAATATTTCAAAGTGTTTTTGTTTTGTTTATAAACTTACAGTTTTTTTTGACTTAAAATAGTCCAATTAACATGGCACATCGCCGTTGTGCAGTGTAAAACGAACCTATTTTACTGAATTAGTAATTTAATAAGTGTATAGTAAACTGTTTGCATTGTTAAAAACTTCAAAAACACTTGAGTATTGATATAATGTCGTCTTCCTATTTTAGAGTTTTTGGTTATCACTGTATTTTATTAATTCTAATTAAAGTGAGTGACCGGCTATGTAAGGTAGTTGAACTGAGTATGCAGTGTTGTGGAAAACTTCTTTCGGATTCATTTGAGACACTTAACCATTTTTAAAGATCTGTAAATCCTGAGTTTGAGCGCAAATTCGACGTTCAAAACTCCTACTTTGGGGGTGGATACGTTTTTAAAATTTGTTTTTTTAAATTATTAAATAACGACGACATAAAATGTAAAAAAAAGTTCTACAATAAACTACATACGTCATGTTTAGGAACATGTATCATCAAAAATAAGTAATCTTGTTTAATTATTAGTTTCTATTTTCTCTTATTCTGGTTTCTAATTATTCAAAAAGATTTTCGCAGATTTTTTAGAATTATTATTGAAAAGACGACATTTGAAGAATTTGAAGAGCTCTGCGAATAAATTCATAGAAGATAAGAAATTCATTGTAATAATGAAAACGAAATAATCGATTTAAGCATTGATTTATTGACAAATTTATTTTGAGAAATATGTTCCCAACCATCTAATTAGATTACTGTATAATTTTTACCTTATTTTTCGTTTTCGTTATTTAATAATTTAAAAAAAAATAATTCTGAAAACGTATCCACCCCCAAAGTAGGAGTTGTGAACGTCGAATTTGAGCTCAAACTCAGGATTTACAGATCTTTAAAAAGTTTAACATATCTCAAATGAATCCGAACGAAGTTTTCCTCAACACTGCACACTCAGTTCAACTACCTTACATAGGTGGTCACTCCCTTTAAAGGGACTGTAGATTTAATTGCAAGTAATAAAGAGTGTCATGTCCGATTCTACTTGACTGGCAATGAGGTAGATATCCTAGTTTTTCTATCTTAAAACTTTAAATTTTTTTATATTAAATTAATTATTAGATTAAATATCAAAGGTTTACATAATTCCGGATTAGAAAAGAAGAATTCAATGCAAACAGTTAGTTCCCTCAAGTGCTAAATTTTACGAATACGATTGAAACCCTGCTTAGCATTATTAATGAAATCGAAATTTAAAATACAGGGTGTCCCACATGAGAGTAGCAAACGTGAACGTCGTCTTTGATTTTGAAAATTTGCGACATTTTTTCGTAATTTTAGAAGTTAATTATAGACTTGATAATCAAATAATATCCTATTTCTAGGTATTTACAAAAAGTGGTATTTTTGACGGTTTCAATTTAATTTTGGCTTTCTTTAATGAAATTGAAATCTAAAAGAAATTCTAAATATCTCCTGTAATATTGACAGCACAGAAAAGGCAGACCATATTTTGGAAATGCCAGGACTAGGATATGTTGTGGTCATTGTTTCAAGAATAATACATGTTTAAAGACGACTGAATTTCAAATTTTTTTGTCAAAGATACATTCAAGTCGTCTTCCTACTGCCATGCTTTGTGGGACAACCGGTGGGGCAAAAATTTACAACAAAGTGAAAAATACTTATACAATAAAATATAATAAAGTGGGAAAAGGTTTTATTTTCAGAATTACTTGATTATTAAATTATTAAATTATTAAATTATTAAAGCTATTTTTACCGCTTGAAACTCTGATGGACCACCAGCACCTAAAAGCAAATTCTTCAAGTGTCTGTTCACCATATATCTTTCCATTTTGTTTAATTTATAAAAACATAGGTAAATAAAGTCTCAATTACTCGATCCCATGGACATCTTTAAAGGGGGATTTTTAATTGGGTTTCTAATTTTAAGGGAGTGTTCGTGAAAAAGGGTGTGTAGGCTGATCACGAATCGAATTCGATATCAATCGCTACTAATTTTACTTCTATCTATTGCATTTATATGAAGAAAATTATTAAAAGCGACTCATACGGAATACAATTCGGGATCAGCCTATACACCCTTTTCATTCGGGATCAGTCTATACACCCTTTTCATTCGGGATCAGTCTATACACCCTTTTCATTCGGGATCAGCCTATACACCCTTTTCATTCGGGATCAGCCTATACACCCTTTTCATTCGGAATAAGCCTATACACCCTTTTCATTCGGGATCAGCCTGTACACCCTTTTCATTCGGGATCAGCCTATACACCCTTTTCATTTTTCCGAACACTCTCTTTAAGAAATGTTTTTGTTTTCAGAACCATGTTAATTTGATATTTTCGTTAATTCCTTTATTTGAAAATATTCAAAAGTTTTTAGATTTTAAGATGTTCCAAAACATCTAAAATTACTGTTTTCTCTTTAAGGTTACAATTCAAAATACCTAATTTGATGGAAAATACTTGACAATTACTTTTCTAGAAGATTAAGGGAATTCATTTTACCAAGAGTTTCCAAGACCAATTTGAGTCAATGAACCTCAGGATGAAAAAAAATTTCCCGACTTTTGAGATGAAAATGCGATACAAAAATATATAGAAAAAAGCTTAATTTAATTCAAGTGACCCGAGCTCCAATTGTAGTTTCTTCTCTACAAAAGTGACATGCGTTTGAAAAAAGTATAGAATTAAACATTTTTCAAACCAAGAAAAGATAAAATATCTTTCACATTAAGGATCAGCAAAATGTTTTAAGGGTACTGTTTCGCATGTAGGGTCACTTGAAATTACGCTTACAAAGTTGTTAATCGTTTAACGATCGTTTTTTGTTTCGTTTTCCAATCGTTTTATAAAAGGATCGTTTCGTTTTTGGAAAAAACTATCGTTTTAAAACGACCCACTCGTTTTAAACTTTTAGAAAATGAATAACGATCGTTTTTTAAAAATGATTTGTGACCGTTTTTATACGATTGTTTTTATAAAAAGCGTGCGCTTTTGAATAAACAATCGTTTTGGAAAAAACATTTTTATTGACAATTATGTTAACGATCGTTAACAAATCGACGAAATTTTGAAAAACGCTCGTTTTCAAAACAATAATTTTAAAAACGACCATTTTTAAAAACGAATTTTTTGAAAAAACGATAGTTTTTAAAAACGTCGTCGTCGTTTTCATAACGAAACGATCGTTTTTCAATAAAATTAAAACGTTAAATCCCTACTTACAGTCCTTATTGTTTTTAATGTCGAAAGTATTTCCATAATTAAAACTATTCTGCTTAAAACTACGAAAAAAATGTGAGAGAACTAAAGACATTTGGAAATATCTTTTAAATTGTGTTCATTGTTTCTAACAAGATATTAGCAATTTAGAAATGCTTTTGGCAAGTTCGAAGACCTTTACGTGTGTTTGTCGAGTACAGAGATGTAGTTGTGTAAACTTATCGAAATCCGCTTGTATTCAATTGCAAATACCGGTGTTTGTTGTGTTCAGTCTGAACTCAACACAGCGGGGTTCGTTCTGCTTACACACACATATCTCTGCACTCAACGAGCACACAAAGGTTTGAAGGGTACCGTTGTAAATCGGATTGCCCTTTTTAATGGAGAATTATATGAAATTACACTTACAATTCCTTTCAGAGGAATATTTTTTATCCTTCCATAATTATTCCATGTTTTCAAATTTGAATATATTTGGGTTAAATATTTTTAAAAGGATGGATTTGTGGATAAGCAAAGTTGAAGTAGCACTTTACAATAATCCCTCTACACTAGAGGTTGGCAAAGTTCTGCAATCCCTCTACACTAGAGGTGGGCAAAGTTCTGCAATCCCTCTACACTAGAGGTGGGCAAAGTTCTGCAATCCCTCTACACTAGAGGTGGGCAAAGTTCTGCAATCCCTCTACAGTAGAGGTGGGCAAAGTTATGCAATCCCTCTATACTAGAGTTGGGCAAAGTTCTGCTTATGAATCATAAGTTTTGAAAATTGACGGAAGATTTTGTTAACGAAGGGCACAACTAGTGGAATATTTGCGTCGTTAACGGTATTTTCCTTTATTTTTAAAGCGACTGATCCTTAACAATTGTAAAGGCGTTAGCGGAAAATATTTTAGAAATCGTTAATGTTGAAAATTATTTCCTGTAAAAATAACTAAAAAAAATTACGACTGAAAAAAATGAAACGATTGTGCTTTGAAATAGCGGCGATGATGTTTTTTAGACATTTTTGATAGTATTCTGAATTTTTTAAAAACTATTTTACCTGTATTGCACTTGGCTTGTACAGTGTCTGTGTCTTTCTTCTCAGCTTCAAAGATATGACCAAACCCAGTTATATAGGAAGGAGTAGCCACAATCTGGCAAATATAGTAGTTGGCGTTTATATCAATACAATGAAGACGACATTTCTTTATACGTTTTGATTTCTAAGAACCTTTTTTCAAATTTAAAGTTTACAAGAAACAAAGAGAAAGTGTTTATTCTCTTTGTTTCCATTTTTATGTGTATCCATGTAGTTTGAAAACTTTGTAGAAATCTAAATTTAGCTCAATAGTCGTCTTCATTGTATTGATATATACGTACGACGCCGAATGGAATAAAAAGTTTCAGTCGAGAAAAAAGTCTAAAGTTTGTCTCACAAATGATAAGATTATTTAAAACTTCTTTTCTACACAAAAGGAAATTTTCATTTAAGATTGGATCTTTTACAATTCTTAACAGATTTTAATTTACAGAAAACAATTGGAATAAATTTGAAATAACATTTTTTTTAAAGAAATAAACTTTGGATTTAATAAATAAATAAAAAGGATTTAAACCAAAGAGATAAACTAAAAGGGTGAAATGAATTTTAAAAAATATGTAAAGTTATCTAAATATTATAGTGAAGATAAAACTTACATCTATTTTTGGGTTAAAAAGGCAGATAGGACTAACTTCAAGAGGTTTAGAGAAATCAAATGGTTCGTCTACTTCCACTAGAGCTATATCATACCTAGTCACCTAAGCCAAGTATCCAGCTTTAACGTACTACAACATGTCTCAGGGTTTCTTAAAGGGACTGTCTACAACATGTAGCAGGGACTGTCTACATGTCTCAGGGTTTCTTAAAGGGACTGTTTACAACTCAGGGTTTCTTAAAAGGGACTGTTTACAACATGTCTCAGGGTTTCTTAAAGGGACTGTCTACAACATGTAGCAGGGACTGTCTACATGTCTCAGGGTTTCTTAAAGGGACTGTTTACAACATGTCTCAGGGTTTCTTAAAGGGACTGTTTACAACATGTCTCAGGGTTTCTTAAAAGGGACTGTCTACAACATGTAGCAGGGACTGTCTACATGTCTCAGGGTTTCTTAAAGGGACTGTTTACAACATGTCTCAGGGTTTTTTGAAAGGGACTGTCTACAACATATCTCAGGGTTTTTTAAAGGTTTCTAAAGGGACTGTAGAATCTTTAAGTTTTAATTTTAGTAACAGTTTAAACATATTTTAGTATTTTAAAAAGCTTTTATAAAACATCCTAGAATAAAGTTTCGGTGCGTAGTGCAGTCATCTGGAGCACCCTAACAAAATAAAGAGTAGGTCACGGGCAGCCGTGGACAGCGTTTAAAATTTGAATTTCCGAGCCGGGTTAACCTTTTCGGTTCCAGTTTGTACTGTATCGCCCTGACATTGGGTTAATATGACTAGCCGGTGCAACAAGGTTGACTCGGTCAGACTTTAGGTTGAATTTCTTTTACTAAAGGGAAGGGGTGCGTAAGGTTTACTTTTATGCGGAAATTGAAAGACTGAATAAATTAAAAATATTTTTAGTATTCGAATAATTTGATATTCATGGTTGCAAAGCTTATACTTTTCCTCACTCTCGAACAGATATTCTTCATGGACAATAATATTGGACGTCTTCCGGACCCCTTTAGAATCTGAAAAATAAAAAGATATAGTTTTATTTTTTTTCAACAGTAAAACCTTTCATGATTATTGGATGTACATTAATCATTAATCGAGTGAACAGAATTAAAATTAACTCTGAAGATTTTCCCGAAATCGAAAGAAATAAAAGAGAAAAAATACAATCAGAAAACTTTTTGGATCGTTGCTCTGATTTTTTTTTGCTGTGATCTTAAAAATATTTCTTGATTTTTCAGAAAGAGTGACTGAAAGTAACAATTTGTGTGTATGCGTGCGTACACGCATACATGGGATTTTTTTATTTTTTCATTATTCATTATTATTTATCTCACTGCAAAGAGTAAGAATGTTTTTGAAATATTTTTTCCTAAAAGCTTTCTTTTATTTTATTCTACAAAATAGAGTGCAATCTTAATTCTGGAAAGAGGGCGAGGAGTTCCCTGGGACCCCCCCCCTCAAGGTTTTTGCAGACAGAGGAGTGGTCATCAGGACTAGATAAAAAAGTTCATTGCTTCAGAATATCATGTTCTTTATATTTACTTTGCTTATCTGGGTGAAGCGCCCAAAAAGCCTAATATTTTACATGTGTACGTACTTAGCAAAGTACAAAAAGTTCAACTATTAATGTTCTTTCTTAGACAATAAATTCTTTAACGAAAATTTCTAGATAAAAGTTGATTCAATGGATAGACTATAATAGAGATGAGAGAGCTAATATTGATTATCAAAAATCTACGTTAATAATTCTAAATAAGAGTAATTGTTAAGCCTTGTGGAAATTAAAACTTATTTTGAAATGTTTCCATTAATTTCATTGAAATTCAAATCTTAGAAGACTTTTAGATTAAAATATTGTAGCATAGTAAATAGAATTTTAGTAGTTGAATTTATTATTATTTTTTCATTCTGATAAATTTGCTGTTCTCATGTTTTTACGCAAAATAAAAAATAGATGAGTTCCGAGGTCACAAAACCTTAATAGTAATGTTGCCTAAAGTGATAATAATATTTTACCAAACCTGAAAACTTTTGAATGAGATATCCTTAATCCCGATTACTCAATCTAAGTATCCAAAGGACACACTTTTGATTTTCTTCTTAAATCGTTCTTTCTTGGATATAGAAGAGAAAAACCTTTTTTTTTATAGAGTTCCTCTCGTTTTTGTATATTAATCTTAAATGGCGCGCAAAATTTCAAATTTACCGGCTTAAATATACGCGACTCTGATTGGTTGAATTTTATACACTTTTCAGGATACAAATACAAGATTAGGTTAGTCTGGAGATTAAGAAAAAGAGAGGATCAAGAATTAACCTCAATATCCACCATTCTAAAGTTTTCAGCTCAACAAACCTGATTCAAGAATAATATTTTACCAAACCAAACCAAACCAAACCTGATTCCAGAAGCATATTTTCCACAACGTCTTTCGAATATGACGCTGACATCCCTAGGATTCAAATAAATTCTTTTATTTTTCATACATTACAATCTAGTAAAAGCAAAAAATGCCATTCAAACCTATTTTGTATTAAATTGCAAGAAGAATGTTAGTAACATGCCAAGAAAGAAATTGAGTATTTTCCACAAGCTCTGATTTTCTAATCCCTTTATCTTTGCAACAAAATGTTGCAGACATGAATAGAGATGATAAAATTTGAGTTTGTGGCAAAGACTCATATTTCGGGTTTCTTCAGAATTGGCTCATGTGTCGAGAAATGTCTCTGAAACTGATTAAAAAGATCTGAACCTGCGATTAGTACTTTAGTTCTATCCTTGACCGTCGGATCTACAGTAGTACCATGTGTTCCTGTTTAAACTCAGTTATAAAATAATGTCAGGCCAAAATTTTAAAGCTAGTTTAATCCAAAAAAACAAGTTATTCATTTGTTCTACGGTTCTACGCCATGCCAAAGGAACTAATTTTTTTCCTTCAACGCTGATTTTCGTAGTTTTTTTTTTGCTACCAGATAGTGTACACCTTTGATATTTCAAACATAGATTATTTGATCTTGCAGAATCTATAGTTTGAAATATCAAATATCTACAACATATAGAGATATGAGGGTTAAAAAATCTAAGTTTGTGTCAAAAACTCAGTTCCTTAATGAAAATTTTCTTCAAAATTTTATATTTTAATAATTTCTCAAAGGTAAAATAAATTGCCTGTAAGGTCAAACAAAGTTGAAAATATTTAAAAAAGCTCAAAGATTCTTCAAAACTTCAATTCCGCCCCCCCCTCTTTTACTTGAGCACTGAGATATAGAAAACTCTGAAAATAAGTCATCATTAGATCCTTACACAGCCTCGACTTTAAACTGTCGCAGTGCCTTGCTCTTTGATTTTACTTTACCAATTTACAATGGAACGCCTTTTTTCTAGCTTCAGTTTTAAAAAAAGTAATTGGCAAAAAACTTCTTGATTTTTACGTTTTTACATCTTCGGTTGCAGTGTCAGATCAAATAGTATATCTGAATTTTTATTGAAATTTTTAAACAAATATTTTTTTATAATTTTCCTTTTTCGAACTTGTATTGTCCAGACGGAAGTTTTTCAGTTGACTGTTTACCGTTGTTAAATTTACACTCTCCTACCTACAGTTAAATATATATACAGTGATAGGGGTTTATATTAATACAATGAAGACGATTTTTCTACTTTAGTTTTGATTTCTAACAAGCTTTTTTCAAATTACAAATTTACGCGTAGGCTAAGAGAAACTGTTAATTAGCAACATATCTTTGTTTCCACGTTTATGGGCATCAATGTTGTTTTAAAGCTTGGTAGAAATGAAAAAGTGAAATTTAATGTCGTCTTCATATTTATTTATACCACGAGGACTAAAGAGTAACTTAATTAGGAAGACGACATTTATGAAACCATATGTGTATTTCTGGTTGTTATAAATCAAATAGTTTTACTAGAAGCTTAAAAATAATCTTGCAAGAGAAATGAGACAAAACTCACAACTGTTTATGTTGTTCATGTTCATGGGAACATTTTATAACTCCAAATTAGAGAGACAAGTCTGTTTTTAAATTATAATCTTTCAATCTTCAATGAAGGAAAAATAACTTTTCTACAGTTAAACCCTAAATGGGCAATACATCGAAAGAATTTATCAAATGTCGTCTTGACAATTTTTCAATGGGTTTTATACTAGTTTACGTAAATCTCAGTATTTTCGAAAATAAATAAATAGCCATGAATATGTGGGAACAGTTTTAAAGAGCTCCATATAATCATTTAATTAAAAAACTAAATATCTGCAGCATTCCATCAGAAAATGAAGAATACGACATTTGATGAATTCTTTCGAAGTATGGCTTAATTAGGGCTTAACTGTATATCTAAAATTTATTATTTGCAATTTTTTATTTCTATTGTGTGTTTATGGTGTGTAGAGAGATTGAATAAAATTGGCAGAATTCAACATGGTTTAACAAAACATGTAAGCGTAATTTGAAGTGACCCTCCGTGCAAATATAAAAATGCCTGATTTAAAACAATACTCTGAAAAGCTTAGCCCAATCCTGGTATAAATTAGATATCATTGTTATTGTTGCTTTTAACTGTTTTTTCTTCTTCTTTCATTTAAGGCTTCTCTGCGCACTTCTTGTCAATTGGATGCAACGAATAAACTCACAAAAATAAACATGTTTGCTTGAAGGGTCACTTGAAATTGCGCTTACAGTCCCTTTAAAATAGAAAATGTGAAACAGATATGATATTTGTGAAATGAAAGGACACTTGATATTCCGTCTACAGTCCTTTTAAACATGTTTCACCTTAGGTGAGCAAAAGCAGTGAGCAGCAGTCAGAACAAACTTTTTATTGATAATTGTTCCTCCGCAACCTCCAGCAGTTAAACCAGGTATCCTAGATTCTATCCTAGAAACAGTTTATTAATAATTATGCCTCTGCAACCTCCAGCAGTTAAACCAGGTATCCTATATAGATTTTATCCTAGAAAACAGTATATTAATAATTGTTCCTCCACAACCTCCAGCAGTTAAACCAGGGATCCTAGATTCTATCCTAGAACAGTTTATTAATAATTATGCCTTAGCAACCTCCAGTAGTTAAACCAGGTACCCTAGATTCTATCCTAGAACAGTTTACTAATAATTATGCCATAGCAACCTCCAGCTGTTAAACCAGGTATCCTAGATTCTATCTTAGAAAACAGTTTATTAATAATTTTTCCTCAAGCTGTTAAAACAGGTATCCTATATTCTATCCTAGAAAACAGTTTATTAATAATTGTTCCTCCAGCTGTTAAACCAGGTATCCTAGATTCTATCCTAGAAAACAGTTTATTAATAATTGTTCCTCTGCAACCTCCAGCTGTTAAACCAGGTATCCTATATTCTATCCTAGAAAACAGTTTATTAATAATTGTTCCTCCAGCTGTTAAACCAGGTATCCTAGATTCTATCCTAGAAAACAGTTTATTAATAATTGTTCCTCTGCAACCTCCAGCTGTTAAACCAGGTATCCTATATTCTATCCTAGAAAACAGTTTATTAATAATTGTTCCTCCAGCTGTTAAACCAGGTATCCTAGATTCTATCCTAGAAAACAGTTTATTAATAATTGTTCCTCTGCAACCTCCAGCTGTTAAACCAGGTATCCTATATTCTATCCTAGAAAACAGTTTATTAATAATTGTTCCTCCAGCTGTTAAACCAGGTATCCTAGATTCTATCCTAGAAAACAGTTTATTAATAATTGTTCCTCTGCAACCTCCAGCTGTTAAACCAGGTATCCTATATTCTATCCTAGAAAACAGTTTATTAATAATTGTTCCTCCAGCTGTTAAACCAGGTATCCTAGATTCTATCCTAGAAAACAGTTTATTAATAATTGTTCCTCTGCAACCTCCAGCTGTTAAACCAGGTATCCTATATTCTATCCTAGAAAACAGTTTATTAATAATTGTTCCTCCAGCTGTTAAACCAGGTATCCTAGATTCTATCCTAGAAAACAGTTTATTAATAATTGTTCCTCTGCAACCTCCAGCTGTTAAACCAGGTATCCTATATTCTATCCTAGAAAACAGTTTATTAATAATTGTTCCTCCACAACCTCCAGCTGTTAAACCAGGTATCCTAGATTCTATCCTAGAAACAGTTTATTAATAATTGTTCCTCCACAACCTCCAGCTGTTAAACCAGGTATCCTAGATTCTATCCTAGAAACAGTTTATTAATAATTGTTCCTCTGCAACCTCCAGCTGTTAAACCAGGTATTCTAGATTCTATCCTAGAAAACAGTTTATTAATAATTATGCCTCCGCAACCTCCAGTAGTTAAACCAGGTATCCTAGATTCTATCCTAGAAACAGTTTATTGATTATTATTCCTCCGCAACCTCCAACTGCTAAACCAGGTATCCTAGATTCTATCCTAGAAAACAGTTTATTAATAATTATGCCTCCGCAACCTCCAGTAGTTAAACCAGGTATCCTAGAAACAGTTTATTGATAATTATGCCTCCGCAACCTCCAGCTGCTAAACCAGGTATCCTAGATTCTATCCTAGAAAACATTTTATTAATAATTGTTCCTCTGCAACCTCCAGTAGTTAAACCAGGTATCCTAGATTCTATCTTAGAAACAGTTTATTAATAGTTGTTCCTCCGCAACCTCCAGCTGCTAAACCAGGTATCCTAGATTCTATCCTAGAAACAGTTTATTAATAATTGTTCCTCCACAACCTCCAGCTGTTAAACCAGGTATCCTAGATTCTATCCTAGAAAACATTAATAATTATGCCTTAGAAACCTCCAGCAGTTAAACCAGGTATCCTAGATTCTATCCTAGAAAACAGTTTATTAATAATTGTTCCTCCAGCTGTTAAACCAGGTATCCTAGATTCTATCCTAGAAAACAATTTATTAATAATTGTTCCTCCAGCTGTCAAACCAGGTATCCTAGATTCTATCCTAGAAAACTGGAAAATACCAGTATTAGAAGCCAAGGAACTAAAAAACTTGCCGCAAAATATAATCTTTAAATCCCTTTATGTTTGCCAGGTGTGTCCGTCGATCAGGTTGCAAAGATATAGGGATTAGACAATTATAATTTATGGATTGTAATCAGTTTCTTTGGAAAAAGCATATTTGAAAAGTAGCAAAATAATTTATTCAATGCTTCGCTGAAAATGCGATGAGAACCACAAATGTCCGGAAGGGAAAGACGACTTTTGTGCTCAAGTTTTCACTTTAAACAGTTTAATGAACATGAGACACGGCAATTGTGCAGTGTAGATAGATCCATTTTACTTTTTTTAGTATATACCTATATGCTTTGTAACTGCATCAAATACACTTAATTATTGCTTTAATGTCGTCTTCCTATTCCACAGTTTTCAGGTTTTAACTAATATTCATTTCATATTTTTATTCAACTACAAAGCTTGAGATATTACAAATTAGCAATCACAATTTACTATGCAGTTTGGACCCGCCTAACCAGAGTAGGTTGTTTTGAGTGGTTGGCTCTAAGTAAGTTAACGATTATGAATATAATTGGTTACACTACACACATCAAATTATGTTTTTGGATAGGTAAGGAGTTGACTGTCAGGTAGAAGATTGTCAGACTCAGGTGATCTGTGGCAGGGTAAGATCAGAGGGATTAATGTAGAGATAAATTAAAATACAGGATGTTAAGGATTATGAATACACACAAATAAGCTAATAAAGCTTAAGTTTTTTTAATATAGAATCTTCTTACAACTAGGTTTTTCCCATTATAAACCTTTCAAAATTCTCAAGATAAATATTTATTACTATTTTTTTAAAAATATTTTTGCAGATTTATTTTCTTTAATTTATGAAACATTGCGGACGGAAAGCTTTCTAAATTTTTTGTTTAAAACCCGTTCTAATTTATATGATTTTGTTCTATTTGGTTCAGCTAGAGAATTAAACATATTTTGGAAGGAAGAGGGAGGGTTATCATTAAAGTATACATGTATTCTATTTAATAAAAGTAGAAAATAAGGGAGAGCTTACTTGAGCAAAATCATTGATGGTCTCTTCATGCATCGTTTATCAACATCATAGCCACCAACTATTCTACCTTCTGTACCTCCAGCCTTTATAATTTACTCTTTTTTTTATTTCTTTCTTAACATTTAAATATGTATACAGGGTTACCCACAAAGGTTGAGAATGTAAAGACGACTTTAAGTATGTTTAGATTAAGTTTTACCTTGAATATACATATATAATGGCTTATTTAACTATTTGGCAAAGAAAGAAAGCATGGAAAGATTAATATTAACACAAATCCTTTGTGGGTAACCCTGTATATGAAATATATATAATATTTACAATTTACAACTTAAAGGGACAGTAAGCGTTATTTCAAGTGATCCTCCATTCAAAGATGGAAATACCCGATTTACAACGGTACCCTTGACAGCATTGCCGGATCAAGTATGAAGATCACTTAGAATATTTTTAAAAATCTTTATTGACACTTCTAATTCGTGAGTGTTAGAAAAAGAATTGAATATTTGCCACAAAATCTAATTTTTAAATCCCTATATCTTTACAACCCAATGGCGTAAACCTTAGATATTTTCGTATATGAATTCTTTTACATAAAATAATCTAAGTTTAAAATATCAATGGTTTAAATAACCATGTAGGTTGTGAAGATAAAGGGATTAGACAATTTGAGCTTGTGGCAAAGAATCAATTTCTTTGTGAATTTGTGAATTACACAAACAGACAGAAACAGAGTAATCACAAAAACAGAGTAATAACAGAAACAGAGTAATCACAAAAACAGAGTAATCACAAAAAGTTTGTTTAAAAGTAGAGAAACGATTTTATTTTTACAAAAAACTTTTTTTAAATTAACTTTTACCGGTTTTCCTGATTGTGCTGCGGAAACAGCAGAATCCTAGACAATGGAGATTTTGAAAGAAAAAAATTTTTTAAATAATTTTTATTTTTTTGGTATTTGGATATATGCATGACAAAGTTATAATAAATTTATAATATCAAAGTAAAATTGTCACTTGTCAGCAATTTAAAGATGAATCACGAAATTGTCGTGGATCAATTGTCAAAGATTATCAAAAATAACTCTAAAACATGAATTTTCTTGAGTATAAAATGACAGGTTGTATTCATGAGATTTTTTTTATACCAACATATATCAAATATTTGCGTTATCAAAAATTAATTCCTCTGAGTTAATTTATTTTAAATGACTTAAAGATAAGATGAGAAGTTTCTATAAAATTCAAAATGAACGATCAAATTCCAATTCGTTGTAATTTATGTATTCTGTAAGACACATAACATGAAATTTAAAAAAAATTAATTACGTTTTTCGGGACTAATTGTGTTCACAAAAAAAATTTTGATATTTTTTTTCTTTCAAAATCTGTCCCTTGATTTTTAGCATACATTTAGCAGCCTCCGCTTCAGTATTTTCATAAGCCCCGCATTCACAGTCGAAATCAGCAGAACTGAAAATTAAAAAAGAAACTGGTCACGTGATTTAAGTCGATCTAAAATCAATCTCAAAATCCGTTAAACTTCTATTTGAGAAATATCACACTCAACTCAAGTACATTTGAATCAGAGCTGAAACGTTCCAGCACGTTTTAATTAAAAGGATACTTACTAGAGGTTAAACATAAATTAGTGAAACGTTCCAGCACTTTTAAAGGATACTTTAATAGAGGTTTAACATAAATTAGTGAAACGTTCCAGCACTTTTAAAGGATACTTTAATAGAGATTTAACATAAATTAGTGAAACGTTCCAGCACTTTTAAAGGATACTTTAATAGAGGTTTAACATAAATTAGTGAAACGTTCCAGCACTTTTCAATGAAAAGGTCATTTGATAGAGGTTTAACATAAAGAAGAGAAACGTTCCAGCACAATTTAATCAAAAGGATGCTTTCTAGAGGTTAGATATAAATTAATGAAACGTTCCAGCACTTTTTTATTAAAAGGACAATTGATAGAGCGAAACGTTCCAGCAATTTTTTATTAAAAGGTCACTTGATAGAGCGAAACGTTCCAGCACTTTTAAAGGATGCTTAATAGAGGTTAAACATTAATTAGTGAAACGTTTTTAGCACTTTTTTATTAAAAGGTCACTTGATAGAGTGGAACGTTCCAGCACTTGTTTATTAAAAGGTCACTTGATAGAGCTAAACGTTCCAGCACTTTTAAAGGATGCTTAATAGAGATTTAACATAAATTAGTGAAACGTTCCAGCACTTTTAAAGGATGCTTAATAGAGGTGAAACATAAATTAGTGAAATGTTCCAGCACTTTTTAATCTAAAGGATACTTTCTAGAGCTTAAGCATAAACTAGTAAAACGTTCCAGCATTTTATTTATTAAAAGGTCACTTGATAGAGTGAAACGTTCCAGCACTTTTTAATTAAAAGGATACTTACTAATGGTTAAACATAAATTAGTGAAACGTTCTAGCATTTTTTAATCGTATAGGATGTTTAATAGAGGTGAAACATTCTAGCACTTTTTAATCAATAGGATGCTTTTTTAGAGGTTAGATATAAATTAGTGAAACGTTCCAGCACTTTTTTAATAAAAATGTCACTTGATAGAGTTAAATGTTCTAGCACTTATTTATTAAAAGGTCACTTGATAGAGCGAAACGTTCCAGCACTTTTAAAGGATGCTTAATAGAGGTTTAACAGAAAGAAGTGAAACGTTCCAGCACTTTTAAAGGATGCTTAATAGAGGTTTAACATAAAGAAGTGAAACGTTCCAGCACTTTTTAATTAAAAGGTCACTTCCGCTGCCCAAAATCAAATGTAATAATTAATAACATTTAGCAGAAAAAAAACCTGAAATTTAGTCGAGAAAGAGCTATTATTAAAGCTAAAGCTTGCATTGATATTACTCTAAACTAATGAAGGTTATGAGAACACTAAATATCACTATTATCAATATTATTAGATTGTATTTAAACTAATTGAATACTAGTAATATGATATTCTCTTTTCTTATTTTAAATTTTACCAATTATTTGAATACGTTGACAAACAAAAATATTTACATCTTTAACATCTTAATTGAAAATTTGAAATAAAATTTTCGCATTTCAATTATGTTTTAAACATACAGTGCTCCCCAGAATTATATGGAACAATAACATTAATAATAACATTAAAGGACCTTTTTTGTACTTTTTAGAGAAACTTCAATCTGAAGAGAAATTTCTCAATTCACAGATATTATGTTTTAATTAGATAATATTTGCCGAATTTTAGGCTTTTAGGTCAAGAAACCTTAACCGTTACTTATTCAAAACTCAAAAATGTGAACAGATTTTTTTTCAAAAAATGTTGATTCTAAAATCTGTAAATTTCCAACAAAAATCTGGGGTCTTCAATGAAAAATTTAGGGTCTCCAACGAAAATCTAGTGTCTCCAAGGAAAAGATTGGGGTCTCCAGTGAAAATATGGGGAGCTCCAATGAAAATCTTGAGGTCTCCAATGAAATCTAGGCATATCCCATAAAATTCTAGGGGGCCTTTAAAATTCTTGGGGTCTCCAATGAATATCTAGTGTCTGTAAGTAAAATCTTAGGATCTCCAATGAAAATCTTGGGGTCTTCAACGAAAATCTTGGGTCTCCAATAAAAATCTGTTGGTCTCCAATGAAATTCTGGTGGTCTCAAAGGAAAATATAGGGGTCTCCAATGAAAATTGAGGGTCTCCAATGAAAATCTGGGGGTCTCCAATAAAAATCTGTATGTTTCCAAAGAAAATCTGGGGTCTATAATGAACTTCATGGCGTGTCTAATAAAAATCTGGGGGTCTCGATGTAAAGCTGGTGGTCTTCAATTATGATCTGGGGGTCTCCATCGAAAATATGGGATCTTCAATGAAAATTTGGAAGTCTCCAACGAAAATATGGGATTTCCTCTGAAAAAATTGGGTTCTTCAATGAAAATCTGCGTGTCTAAAAAAAAATCTGTGGTCTCCAATGACTTTATTTGGGTCTCCATTGAAAATCTGGGTGTTTGCAAGGAAAATCTGGGGTCTGAATGAAAAGCTGGGAGTCTCCAATGATAATCTGGGGTTCTCCAATGCAAAGTTGGGGCTCTCCAACAAAATGGTCGCAATGGTCGGTTTCTATAAGGCAGAAACCGACCGTTACCCCTAATGCTCGGTTTCTATAAGGCAGAAACCGACCGTTACCCCTAATGCTCGGTTTCTATAAGGCAGATACCGATCATTATCCCCGAATAAAAATATATTGATATGTCTATCTATACTAAATTTTTGTTTTTGTTTTCTCATAATATTGCATATATATATTGCACCCCTGACCCTTTAGCAAAAGTAAATTTAACCTATAGTCTGACCGCGTCAACCTTGTTGCACCGGCTAGTCCTATTGAGTGTCTGCTTTATTTACCCAATGTCCGGGCGATACAGTACAAACTGAGACCGAAAATTCAAATGTACTACGGCTGCCCGTGATTGTACCATTGCATGTACCTTTGCAGTGTACAGATTATATCTATAATAATAATAATAAAACCAGTTTCCGCCCGGGTTGGAAAATTAACAAATTCATCTTTATTAAACATTGTTTTAATATTAATATCTCTTTTTAAATAACGTTTTATAAATGTCCATTACCCCTGTACTGTCAAACTTTCACCAAGTTGGCGTGCACGTTTTAATTCTCAACAAATTTCAAAATGCCTCTCCTTTTTACCTTTTCTGTGCCAGAGCTTGTCCGCCCCCCCCCCTTTCTTAAAATTCGTTGTATTAAAGTATATATGACGAATTACACAATTTTAGAAAGCTCTTAGCTGCTATTTTCAGAATCTGCAAAAAATGGAATTGAGTCTTTGCCACAAACTCTGTCTTTTAGTCCATATTTCTTTAAAACACAATGTCTTAGACCTTAGATATTTTAAGTCATGAATTCTGTCAGATCAAATAATAAAAGTTTGAAATATTAAAGGTTTAGCCGTCAGGTTGCGAAGATATAGGGATTCGAAAATTTAATTTTGTGGCAAACACTCAATTCCTTTACCAATAATTTAAATATTAATGTTTTGCAAAAAATCAAGATTTTGTTTTTATTTTATATAAATACTGAGACAAATAGTGAACAAATTGGACAAATAATGGACAAATTGGACAAATAATGGACAAATTGGACAAATAGTGGACAAATTGGACAAATAATGGACAAATTGGACAAATAGTGGATAAATTGTACAAATATTAATGTTTGTTGGGATAAAGAAGTACAGGAGAAAATGAATGTAGAACTAAATTCTAAAAGTTTGAATTTAGTGAGTGTAAGAACATTAGTTTTCATAAATTTTACATAATCTCCCACCCCTTCAAATATAAAACTTTCATAAAAGTAAATGTGATTTTAAATTTTCAAAAGAATAACTTATATATTTTGATAAATTCATTAAAACTTTAGAAATATATGATAAAAAGTTAGATTAGATAAAACTTTAAAAAGGAATTACAAATTACATTGGAAATTACAAAATTAAACAGAAAATTCAAAATTCAAATTTTATTAAAAGCATATTTCTTGAATTATGGATTAATGTAAAATTAGGACTGGGCAAAGTCTCGTTTACGAATTAATAGAAGATTCTCTTGAAGAACGGCAAACGAACCCAAAACGACGAGCTAAAACGGAACTAAACGGAAAGTTTAGTTCTTAGCTGAGAACGAACGGATACTTGAAACCAAAACAGTTAAAGAACATTTAATTGTGGCTCTATCTAGATAGAACATCTTCTCTTTTGAACGAAAAAAATATTCACGGATTTAATAATTTTTTTTGCGCATTTTCAAAATTTTCCTGTCCGTTCGTTCTTAGCTATACGTTCAGTTCTTAGCTAGAACGAACGGGTAGAACAATGTCTGATCGTGCCCAGCCCTGTTTAAGGCTGTAAGCAAACTGGGACAGTGTTTTTTTTAATATATTGTGCAGAAGTAATATCAAATAAACCTCTAGTAAAATTAAGCGGGATATGTCAATTTCACAATGGTACCATTTAGAATTTAGCCAATCAAAACAGTAGACCGTAGGCAACCTTGTTTTTTCAACTTGGAAAGCACTGAATTCCAACAATGTTATGAAGCATACACAATTCTACAATTTTAATACATTTTTAAGGAGAAACTCGTGCAGAAATTAAATTAGCTTAACCCAGCTTTGCCTGGAAGTTTACTCTATAAGAGTCAGCCTACTCATTTAGAACTATTAAATCGAGCCAAAACCCGTTTTCGCGGTGATACCGATTCCTCCATTCAAAATTTGAGGCAAATCGGACAGAAGGTTACTGATCAAGCTATGATTGGACATTTAAACAAGCAAACACCGAAACAGAGACAAAAGGTTTATGGACGCTGAGAACTACAAAAATGTGTCTCCACAAATTTTGGATTTTTGTAAAATTTCGAAAATTCACAAAAAAATATTATAAAATCCAAGGACTTTTTTGTTGTTATTATTTTATATTGTACAAAGAGAAGATACTCATAGGTATAGAGCCCAAATTAAAAGTTGAACTTGAGCCTAGTTTATTATATATAGACTAGTTTTAAACTCCAGGTTTTCCTGAAGATCTTAAAAAAGAATTATTTATATACTTTCATAAGTCTTGATTCTTTGTCAGTACTGAGATTTCAAAAACGACAGTTTGTATTTCATTCAGTCTTTTTTACTAAATTTCTAGTACACCTTGCCACTGCATGCACACTTGTTTCTAGCCTTGCCAGAAAATGTGATTAGGGGCGGACTACCGGGGTGGCCTGGGGCCACGGGGCCCCCCTGAGCTCCTGGAAGGGGGAGGCCGCCCCCCCCCCCTATGGAAATTTATGATATGAAATAAAAAGTCAATTGGTTTGAAAGGCACAACCAAATTGGAATTGAATAAATGACTAGAAAAACCCGTTAAAATTGTTTTCTCATCTTATTATTTATACTAATATGCCTGTAAACTTACAGATAGAAAGTGTGAGATCTGGAGTTTACAGATAAAAAGTGGGAGAACTGGAGTTTACAGATAGAAAGTTGGAGAACTGGAGTTAACAGATAGAACGTAGGAGAACTGGAGTTTACAGATAGAAAGTGGGAGAACTGGAGTTCACATATAGAAAGTGGAAGAACTGGAGTTTACAAATAGAAAGTAGGAGAACTAGAGTTTACAAATATAAATTAGGAGAACTTAAGTTTACAGATAGAAAGTAGGAGAACTAAAGTTTACAGATAGAAAGTAGGAGAACTAGAGTTTACAGATAGAAAGTAGGAGAACCAAAGTTTACAGATAGAAAGTAGGAGAACTGTAGTTTACAGATAGAAAGTGGGAAAACTAGAGTTTGTAAACTGGTATTTTTTGAACAAATAAGAAATAGGAATTCACTGCTTTTTATTCAATTTTTAGGGGGGGGGGCTCAGGGGGTGGCCCAAAATTATGCCCCCCTCCCCGAGATACTGAGATAATGATTTAGTCAACCCCTCAATTTGATATACCTTTTAAAGACTCAATTAAGTGTAAACGACTAAATTAAGATCGCCATTAAATTCTCATCTTTTGTGGGTATCCCCCTGTATTTGGTGTACAAACTAAAATAATTAAAATTATGCATTAAAATTAAACTTTCCAGAACTGCAGTTTTCAGTCTTATGATTTGCATTTTCTACTTTTTGCAACCTAAATTGTGCAGTGTGATGCAGAAGTCTCAATTGCCGTGAATTGCATTAAAAAGTTGATTAAGGGGGGGGGGTGGCAGTAGTGTGCTGAGGAAGGGGGAGGAGGGAGCTGTTGGGTTGATTAAGGGGAGGGGGCTGCAGTAGTTGGCTGAGGAAGGGGGAGGAGGGAGCTGTTGGGTTGAATGAAAGAAGGGGGGGGGGGGTTTCTTACATTTATTCAGGCGTGAAGTAATTTTTATTATAACC